TCTATATGTATTGTACTGCATTTTTAGTTGTCTCTATTCTGTTTATTGCTTAGTGCTGAAGGACTATTTACTAAATGTGGAAAAGCGAGACGCGGTTACCGCGCGTATATGTAGGTGGTAGTGAATATTGTGAAGTTGAATATATACAAAATACTAGGTAAGGGTATCGTTACTGCAAATACATACAAAGAACACAGAAACAGATAATATATCTCATCCCATCTGTAGCTATCAGCATATTACCACATCCCCACAAGCAGACCTGCCACCACGGACAGCACCAGGGAAAGCAAAGCACTAGAAGTTGCATCAGTCTTGATACCCAGCGACAAGGCAGCCTCGGCCGCCGCTGCACCCTGCGTCTTCAAGGCAGCATAGGTGACATTCGCGACGGGAAGTCCGCACAGTCCACTGCCGGGCATCAGATCCGCCGGGAAGAACACGCGCGGCTCTCCTTTATCCATCGGAACCACGAGTTCACTCTGGGCATTGACCGTATAGTTGATGCAGTTCAGGATCTCGGTCACAACCGTGCCACCCGTGAAACTCACCGGCATCGAGAGGTTGTAGGCGCTGCTGTTGGTGCCCTGCGTGGACAGAAGCATGACCACTTGCCGGCCTTCGACTCCCTTGCGAAATCCCAGTTCACTGCCACCCTCGAAGATGGGGTACGTCTGAACATCCGGATAGTGATTATCGAGTCGGTAGGCGTGCTTCCGGATGGCATTCAACTTGCCGATCAATTTGTAGAGCTCGGCGTCGGTGTTGTACTCAGTGAGCCAGATCGCTTCTCGGTTCTTGGGACTGCCGGGGCCATCCAAATGCTGCTCCTGACCTTGATAAATCATGGGCACACCATCGGCGAGCAGCGTGAATGTAAGGATATTCTTCGCGAGCTAAAGGGACAGAATGTTAGCTAGCGAATGCGTTTAAGGGTCCAAGGGTCCATACAGCCATGTCTGTGTTCATGCTGGCAAATCGTGCGACATCGTGGTTTTCGGAGAACGAGGATAAGGCAGTCACATCATGGCAGGAATTCTTCATCTCCTGGACTTGAGTGGCCAGGGCGCTGGTGTTGCCCAGGGTGAAGGCCTTCAACATGGCGTAGTAGACGGGATAATTCGGGAGACTGCCGATGTAGTTGTTCTGGTAATCGCAGATCGTGCTGACCTCTTGCTGCAGCACTTCGCCGGTCATGAAGATATCCAAAGCATCGCCGAAATTCTTCAGAAAGCCTGGGTTCACATGCTTTGCTGCATCGATGCGGAGACCGTCAATGGAATAGGTGGATATGACATCCTTTGCCCAGTTGCTCAGCGTTTCTTGAACCTCGGCATGCTCGGTATACAGATCGGGCAGGGCCACGATGTTGTCACCGGTCTGGCATAGCTGGGCGTTGGTGAAGTTATTCCAATCGGTGATCTTACAGTACGGATGATAGTAAGACGAGCTGTTGAAGGGGGTGAGGGTTGAGTAGTCGATGTGGGTGGCGGGGTCGGAGCCATTGGTGATGTAAGCCATGTTGTTGATGACCGTGTCCATCATCAGATACATGTCGCGAGCGTGCAGGGCGTCACTCAGATCGAGCAGATCCTGATGCGTGCCAAAGTGAGAGTTGAGGGAGTACAGATCCAAGGGCCAATAGCCGTGATAAGCTTCTCCATACTCTACGCGACCTTCGACGTTTTCGATGATAGGGGAGATCATGACGGCATCAAAGCCCATTCCCTGGATGTAATCGAGGTGGTTGATCATGCCGCGCCAGGTGCCACCACAGTACAGACCCTCTGTGGTGTTGCAGGGGGAGGTGGTTGAGCCATCAGTGCGCGCGAAGCGATCCGTCATGGTCTGATAGACTGACCGAGACTTCCATTGCTCGGTGCTGGCAGCCAGTGACGACCCCAGCCAGCCAGCAAGATAGAGGACCCCGAGCCCGTGTCGCAGGGCTGACATTGAGACCATGGCTACAGTCACTGGGAAATGTAATTATATCAATGATCCAGATGCTCACATGTACCTGCCGAGCAACTGCGGGGCCGACTTGGAGACACGATAAGACGAATGTGGTATGCTGGGAGATAGCCGTTTACGCTAAAAGGAAGGATACGGGCTCGGCAAGAGATGAAAGAGTGACAAAAGAAGTGGGACCCAAATGTAGAGAAAGAATGGCGATGGTCAGATCCAAAGGAAGAATGAATGGCAAGGGAAAAGCCCAGGAAGAGGGGGGTCACTTCAGTGATGGATGCATTGGTTGATGTGACGAGAGCGAAAGAATGAGCGAGGAGGAAGGAAGGGAAAGGAAAGGCGAGGAGGAGGAGGAGGAGGAGGAGAAGAGAGAAGAGGGGAAGCGAGAAGAAGTGGAATGCTGGGGAAGAGCTTGACTGAACATCAGGTGCAGGTGCAAAATGCCGGTGGAGCGAGCAGCAAGGGGACCTCACTAACTGCATTCAGGCCGGATCCCCTGGATGGGATGATAAACAGGTAAACTAGCCTGCTTTTTAGTTCAATTCGAGAGGGGACCAATGAGTGTGCAGTGCAGTGCATCTGGGTTAGTATCATATAACCCAAGGTGGCGGAGGAAATTGCCAATCGGAGAAAAGGGTTAGAGATTGATAGTAGATACATTATCCTCCTTATCATGGTCACCACCATCCTCATCATCATCCATGTGTGAAAGGCATCAGAGGCGTCGCCCTGATCCCTCGAACCCTGATCTTTAAGATTTTCCCGGAACCCCAGGGCGACTCCCGCACAGGACCAGGAACCATTGATCCCTGCCGGTGGTGGCACCGAGGTTCCCTCTTGCAGCTCCCCCAGATTATTGACTAGAAGAATACCACTTCCTGGTTTGCCAGCTTGTCCTTCCCATTGGCTTCAAGAGGGGGCATTTCTCCTCAAGCCCCCCTGCAGATGTCACCACTGGCGTCAACGGTGGCACGAGTTTTCCGGCGAAGGAATGGCTTCTGATTTCTCCAAGACCAAGCCTGTCACGCCGCCACGAGCTGGGGCTAATGCTTCTGCCAGGCACAAAGAGCGGCAGATGAGCGAACCGGCCATTCCGATGGGTCGAAATGGGGAAGAAGAGGGGGCCAGTGAGACATGTTCTTGACTAGTAGTTTAGTACTTAGTAGAACCATTCTGGTGTCTGCCCTACTTGGAATCTCCGGAAAGACACCGTTTTAGGCTATTTGGTGATCCAATGAGGATGGCCAGGGACTCCACCGCTGAACCCTGACCAGGTGAAGACTAGCCAATTAGTATAATTAGTTCATCAGGGGAACATTGTGAGCACTCGAGAATATGTGAGACAGTCAGACAACAGCGGATATACTGGTCCGAGAAAGCACGCAGCTGCTCCAAACCCCCAAATTTTGGACGGAGATCGCGTGGTGGACAAAGAGGAAATGAGAACGAGGGCAAAGCTTGGCTCATTCTCTTCGCCATGTTCCTTGACGGATGACCCCAGATGCTTGGCAGGAGATAAGTGATTGAGATATTTTCCTCGTCTGCATAAGTTGACTGACTTCATAGACTTCATATCTAATGCAAGGTTCAGGCACACAAAGCAGCCCGATAAGAGGAAACAACCTGTCCGAGAGCAAATTTGATTTATCTTCTCATTATTTCTTTTTCCAGGCGAGCCAAGGTCCAACCGCCAGGGTCTTGGCGGCGGGCTTGGCTGGCAGGATTGGGAAAAGCGGCGTTGCCCGAATCAGCAGCCTGGATTTCAAATTACCATCAGAACGCTGCAAGTTTCACAGTACTGACAGTACCTTACCGCCAAGTGGGGGCCAGGGAGCAAGAAAAACAGGAATAAGTCCTTATTATTGGAAACGGTGGTGTTGCTCGGAAATTTTCTTGTTCGCTCTTGGGTGATCTCTGCCCTGGCAGATAATCAATTTGCAGGAGACCATTGGCCCGCGAGGGATGGGAATAAAACCAAGTAAGACATGCATGGCCCGATTTCTCGTAGTGTGGTGTATCCGATCAGACCTTTAGCAGAAATCAGTAGTAGTCACCACTTAGGTACTTCGTTAGTCCTCCGCGAGGCTCAAAGAAGACTAGCCCCGTCTATCTAACTCGGTTCGGTGCTGTGTGAATTGTGAAAAGATAGCACACCGGGATGCCAAGGGTCCAAACTAGTCTAGTAAGTAGACCCTCTCTCCAAAAACCCAAGGTGGCTGCCAGCCTCACGGGAACCCGACCAAAGACCATCCAGATTTAAATCTGCGATCCCGTAAATCCTTCGCCGGAGACCCACTCCCGCCTGGCCAGGATGGCCTCCGTGGCTCCAACAAAACTTTCTGGCATCTTACTGACTTGTGTACCTTACGGGTCTATGTAGCCTCGAAGGAGTGGACAGTAGAAGTATGCTTCTGCAGGGGCGAGCGTTGTTTATGGATGACATGCTTATCATTCCTGAGGCTCGTTGGAAAGAAAAGAAAATAAGTGGCAAGACCAGCGTCAAAATTTCCTGTTTCTTATTGCCTGTTATTTTTGTGTTTTTCGCTTTCTCCGCTGCGAGGGAGTGAAAAAAAAAAAAAAAAAAAACAAATATTCACAGGTGAAGAGAAGCAGAAAAAAAAAAAAAAAAAAAAAAGCGACACAGAGGCTTGGCAGTCGAACCGGGCAAAAGAGCCAAAATAGCAGGCAAAGAGTGCAGGGGCCCGCTCTCGGTCGGTGACAGCTTTCTGGAAACTTTCAACCGGTTAGGATCGCTTCGGGACCAACCACGGAATCATCTCCGGGTTATGACTGGCTCGTCGGTATTTTTGGTCTTTTTCCTTTTCTTTGCCATTCCTTTCTTTCTCTGACCCTTTTGCAGTTGGAGGCCCGAAGTCAACGCCACGGAAGTTGGCGGATTGAAGCTGATTGGGAATACTGTTGCCCCCAAAAATACACACACACACACACACACCATATTCAGGAACAAACACACCACCAAGCCCGCTGCATGCATGGGATGGCTCACCTCCCCCTTCTGCGAGTGAAGGGCAGGAGATAACGGTATAGGTCTGACCCTTTAAACCTGAAAACTCAAGTATACAAGAAATGACTACCAACTACCACCACCATCACCACTATTACGGTATCACCTCTATCACTTCTTTCCAGTATACTACCACTAGTAGACAAGTAGTCGAATCCCGGACCCTCCACCACCAATCGGGAGGGTCTGTCCTTATCAGACCCAAATTTCTTCCCAAAGAGATTGAGAAAAAATGAGCAGCTTGATGACAGTAAGACATCACCTGCACTATTGTGTAGAGTGTCTTAGAAGAGGGCCAATAGAGTTTTTTCGTTACCGAGATTGGCTGCACGCCACCGTATTGCTGCCTCTTCAGGTATCGTTTAGCTTGGGCGTGAATACGACCTGGAACCCTTGGCCGAGTAGAGGTTACCGTCAGAAGCAACAGCAGTAGCAGCAGCAGTAGCAGAAGAAGGGTTCTTCGCTTGTTTCCCATAGTACCAATATGGGCGATGGGAACAATAAGAAACTCCTCGGAGGGACCAGGGAGGGTCCAGTTTTTCGGGGGGACTAAAGGGAGGGACGAGACTAGATCTCAAAGGGGATTGGTGAGGGCCTGGCTGTATCAAGTGGGCGGAAGAACCCTTCTTTTTAAGACATTCAGTGATCCAGTTCCAACTGCCCCTTGAGTTCCACCGTAAAAATGCCTACCGGTCCGAGAGGAAACCTACTAAGTATCTAACGGCTCCGAATAGCCTACTCACTATATACGAGAGTGGCTCATGTTTTTTTTCAATGGGATGGCTGTCGGACCACCCAATGGTCCGCTTCCGTTATTCATTTTTAATCATATTTTTTTTTCCTTCTAACCCTTCTAAATTTGCAATTTTTCAATACTTATTTTTAAATTCCCTCTTTTGGTCTTTGCACCGCACTGCCGCGGTCTAGTCCACTCTTAGCAGGCAAAAAGTATTCCGTCATAGCCAAAGGGAAATCGCCCCTCCCTCTGGCTCTGGACAAGGCTAGAAGTCCCTCCGGCGTGGATTCGATAACTTACCCGGGGAACAAATCCTATACGAGTGAGCTGGCACCGGGGAGCCATTCAGAGTGGTCCTCCAGTCAGCTTGGGGTTATTATTAGCAAAATACACATCGACGAGACAAGACGAGACGTCTCGTCTGCTTCTTTTTTTCTATTTTTCATTTCATCGTCCCTTAGTCCCTTCCCCTCGATCCACTATCGCGGATATCGATGTGTGGCCCCAATCCAGCCTCTCATTGCTGAGCCTCAGCATCGCTGCTAGTCTAAGTAGTAGCTCAGTATCTTACTATTAGTTGGACTGATTAGCTTTTTTCTCCATTTGGCTTTCTCGCCTTTGTCCCCATCATCCGTCCCCTCTGACACTTTCTCCTTCCTCCTATTCCTCGTATCATCTTTTCTCTTTCTCCTTCCCTCTTCCACTTCTTCTTCTCCCCTCTCTCGCTGGATCCATCTTATCTCTGATCTCATGCATCGTTTCTTGTTTTGATTGTTGTTGCATTGTGATTCCCCATAGATTTCACTCGTTAACGAAGCGTGCTGTGTTTCTCTCGTTATCTGCACCCTATCTATCGCTCGTTATCAGTCGCATTCATCATCCACCCATCCGACTATCATTGAGTGACCTGCCCAACCCAGCGAAGAGAGATCGCAGTCAACTGTGGTGACGAGGCAGAACCCATTCTTTCTCCCCAGCTTTTGGCCAACTCAACAATCTCGCATTGACCTGGCCCTACGTCTTGTTCCTGGTTTGTTGACCGGTGGTCATCCCGGGTCGACTCGACCTTCCCACCCAGCATGAAGTGGGCTATCTCCGGCACGCTGCTCGCCTGTTTCGCAACAACAGCAACGGCCTGGCCCTACGACGAGTCCCTCGTCGACTACAACTTCAATCAGAACCAGTCCGCCACTAATCCGGCGGACTATTGGGGAACATGGCCCAATCACACCGGGGACTACTTCCCCTCCCCGGACAATTGGCGCTTCCCCGTCTATACCCTCTTTCTCGACCGCTTCGTCAACGGTGACCCCACAAACGACAACATCAATGGCACCCTGTTCGAGCACGACCTCCGCTCAAATCAGATGCGCCATGGTGGTGATGTTGCCGGCCTGCTGGACACCTTGGATTACTTGCAGGGCATGGGAATCAAGGTCGGTCTCCGTGGCTTGCGCGATGCTGCGATTAATCACTAACATTAGTCCAGGGCCTCTATCTCGCCGGAACTATCCTGATGAACCAGCCCTGGGGATCTGACGGTTATTCGGCTTTGGATACGACTTTGCTCGATCAACACTATGGTAACCTGCAGACATGGCGCAACGCCATCACGGAAATTCATAAGCGGGGCATGTATGTCATCTTCGATAACACCATCGCAACGTAAGTTAACCGCTGCCTTTTTCTGTTCCACACCCAAAAAATACTCACCTTCAACGTTTAGGATGGGCGATTTGATCGGATTTGATGGCTATCTGAACACCACTACCCCCTTCTCCGTGAATGAACATCAGACGGTGTGGAAGACTGACCGCCGCTACGTGGACTTCCACATTGGCAATGACTATAACGAAACATGCGATTACCCCCGCTTCTGGTTCGAGGATGGCTACCCTGTTCAAGCTTCAGTCACCGAGGAATTGGTCGGATGTTACAACAGCGACTTCGACCAGTATGGTGATATTGAGGCCTTTGGTGTCTTCCCCGATTGGCAACGGCAGCTGGCCAAATTCGCCTCCGTTCAGGATCGACTCCGTGAATGGGTTCCCTCCGTGCGCGAGCGTTTGATCCGCCACTCCTGCATTATTATTCAATCCCTCGATATTGACGGTTTCCGGTACGACAAGGCGACCCAGGCAACCGTTGACGCTCTCGGAGATATGTCCAATGCGTACCGCGAGTGTGCCCGCGCCGTTGGAAAGGAAAACTTCTTCATTGCGGGCGAAATTACGGGTGGTAATACCTTTGGTTCTATCTACCTGGGCCGAGGTAGACAGCCAAATCAGTTTCCTGACTCGGCGGAGGCAGCCATGAAGCTGACCAACACTTCTGACGCCCAGTATTTCCTGCGTGAAGTAGGACATGAGGCGATTGACGGCGCAGCCTTCCACTACTCCATTTACCGAGCGCTGACCCGCTTCCTGGGCATGGATGGTAATCTGGCTGCCGGTTACGATGTGCCGGTCGACTGGGTTGATGCTTGGAATCTCATGCTGCAGTCGAATGATCTGGTCAATGCGAATACCGGCAAGTTCGACCCCCGCCACATGTACGGGGCTACCAATCAGGATGTCTTCCGTTGGCCCACTGTGGAAAAGGGCGTGGAGCGCCAGTTACTTGGATTGTACATCACGACTCTTCTGCTCCCCGGAATCCCGCTCCTTCTCTGGGGCGAGGAACAGGCGTTTTACGTTCTGGATGCCACGGCATCCAACTACATCTACGGTCGGCAGGCCATGTCTCCTGCCACCGCTTGGAGGGATCATGGCTGTTTCTCCTTGGAATCGTCTCAGTACTATAACTGGCCCATTGAGTCTGGCCGCCAGGGCTGCCATGACCCCACAGTGGCCTACGATCATCGTGACCCGTCTCATCCTGTGCGCAATATCATTAAGCACATGTATCAGATGCGCGAACAGTTCCCTGTTCTCAATGATGGCTATACTATTCAAAAGCTCTCGAATCACACCGAAGACGTGTACTATCTCGGTTCCAATGGCACAGCCACCGAGACGGGACTCTGGTCCATCCTGCGTGATGTGAACGCGGATGTGCAGGATTTGGGTTCGGATGCAAATAACCAGCCCGTCTGGCTGGTCTACCACAACACGAACCGCACCATTGATTATAAGTTTGACTGCTCGGATAATGATACAGCTCTCATTGCCCCCTTTGATAGTGGCACCTGGGTCAAAAACTTGTTTCACCCGTATGACGAGCACCAGCTGATCGATTCCCCCACTAAGTTGGGATTGAACGGCTCGACTGCATACAGTGGCTGCTTGGCTAATATGACCATGGACGCCTATGAATTCCGGGCCTACGTGCCTAAAACCCGCTTTACTAAACCCAGACCGATGATCACGAAGTTCACTCCGGGACACGATGTCCCGATCCGCTCGACCGTGGCCCCGAACGCAGACGAGAATGTGGAGGTCGAAATCTACTTCTCTGAAGAAATGGATTGCGACTCGGTGACAAAGTCAATTACCCTTTCGTCGTCGACCGAAATTGGAAAGGTCCCGTCCGTCGATTCTAACAGTGTCAACTGCAAGTCAGTCCCCGCTACTAACACCAGCTGGACCGGCCAGATCCCTGGGGTGTGGCTGTGGGCTGCCAACCTGACAGGCGTTTACAACGGCATTCATCGTCTTACTGTCAACAATGTCAGCACAGAGAGTGGGAACGCGACCACCAATGCGGTCGACCATTTCCTCTTCCGCATCGGCCAGATTGATAATCCCATGATTTTCAGCAGTGCGAACTATTCGAGTAGTTTGCTCCATGAGGAATCCAACGGTACTCTTTTCATCCAGCACCACGCCGCTGGTGCTGATAAGTATCGCTATTCAACCAATTGGGGAACCACTTTCTCCGACTGGATGGACTACAAGGGCGGAAACGACACTATCGAGGAACTCGAATGGTCGGGAACCAAGAGACAGTCTTGGAAAGGAAACCATGTCCGCGTCGAGTATTGGAGTCGGTGGACCGGCAGCAGCGACTACGTCCAAGAGGGAGACGCGGGCTGGGACGAGAATGTCCCACGCCGTTTCCCTCACGTCTTCTTCAACGGTCCTTACAACCAGTATGGATATGATGCAGGTCTGGACAACGTAGTCCGGCAGGACAGCGTAGACGGTCTCTGGAAATACCATTTCACCGCGGAATGGCCTGCTCAGGCTCAATTGAACATCTGGGGCATGAACCCTGACGGGGAGCCTGACCAAAGTTGGGTCCTAGGTGACGCTGACAATGATTCCGTTCTCGATCGCATGCCGCCCTCTTCGCTATCCGCCACACTGATTAACATCACTGAACATCCTCCCTCTCCCTACATCTCGTGGAATATCTTCATTGATGACGGGACCATGCGCTTCCAGCTGTTCCCTGTCGGGCATCAGAATACCCAGATCGCCATGTATGTGCTCTTTTGGATCATCCCCGTAATCACGGGCGCAGCCGGTGTGTGGGCTTTCATGAAGTCTTTCTACAAGGTCAAATTCAACCAGGTTGGTGTGAGCGAGAAGCACCAGATGATCCCATTGGCTTTGCGCCGGAAGTTCAAGCGCAATCGTGGCATGGATGAGGAAATCTCAAACCCTCTTATGCGTCTGGCAAACAAGTCCGGGTTCCTCCAGACCGACACGGCGATTGGCGGTGCTGCTAGCGGCAAGCGTCGCATGGTTCTGATTGCCACCATGGAGTACGACATTGAGGATTGGGCCATCAAGATCAAGATTGGTGGCCTTGGTGTCATGGCGCAACTCATGGGTAAGACTCTGGGTCATCAAGACTTGATCTGGGTGGTGCCCTGCGTCGGGGGCGTTGATTACCCCGTGGATAAACCCGCAGAGCCCATGCACGTCACCATTCTTGGCAATTCATACGAAGTCCAGGTCCAGTACCACGTCTTGAATAACATCACCTACGTTTTGCTGGATGCCCCTGTGTTCCGTCAACAGTCCAAGTCAGAGCCTTACCCCGCCCGCATGGACGACCTGAACAGCGCCATTTACTACTCCGCCTGGAATCAGTGCATTGCTGAGGCCTGCAAGAGATTCCCGATCGACCTCTATCATATCAACGATTACCACGGTTCCCTGGCTCCTCTGTATCTACTCCCCGATACAGTGCCTGCCTGTCTTTCCCTGCACAACGCCGAATTCCAAGGTCTGTGGCCCATGCGGACGCAGAAAGAAAAGGAGGAAGTTTGCTCCGTGTTCAACCTGGATATCGAGACCGTGAGGCATTACGTGCAGTTCGGCGAGGTATTCAACTTGCTCCACTCGGGTGCTAGCTATCTTCGTGTTCACCAACAGGGTTTCGGTGCTGTCGGTGTGTCCAAGAAGTATGGAAAGCGGTCCTACGCGCGTTACCCCATTTTCTGGGGTCTTCGAAAGGTTGGAAACCTACCTAACCCTGATCCGTCCGATGTCGGTGAATGGAGCAAGGAACAGGCCAGCGCCATGGGTGATAATGTGACCGTGGATCCGACTTACGAAGCTGGACGAGGCGACCTCAAGCGTCAAGCTCAGGAGTGGGCCGGTCTGGAACAAAACCCTGACGCCGATTTGCTTGTCTTCGTTGGTCGTTGGTCGATGCAGAAAGGTGTTGATTTGATCGCCGACGTCATGCCTGCTGTCCTGGAAGCGCGCCCCAATGTTCAGCTCATTTGTGTTGGACCGGTTATCGATCTCTACGGTAAATTCGCGGCCCTCAAACTGGACCATATGATGAAGGTCTACCCCGGACGAGTGTTTTCCAGACCTGAATTCACGGCATTGCCCCCCTACATCTTCTCTGGTGCTGAATTCGCGCTGATTCCCTCTCGTGACGAGCCCTTTGGTTTGGTCGCCGTCGAGTTCGGACGTAAGGGAGCTTTGGGTATCGGTGCCCGGGTTGGTGGTCTCGGTCAGATGCCAGGTTGGTGGTACAATGTGGAATCGACTTCTACTTCTCATTTGCTCGTTCAATTCAAGCTGGCTATCGACGCGGCGCTCAGTTCGAAAACGGAAACTCGTGCCATGATGCGTGCCCGGTCCGCCAAACAGCGCTTCCCGGTGGCCCAGTGGGTCGAAGACTTGGAGATCTTGCAAACCACCGCCATCCAAGTGCACAACAAGGAGTTGGTCAAACATAATGGTCGACCCTTCACCCCGTCTGGAACTACCACGCCGAGTGGCATCTTGAGCCAGCCGTCAAGCCCACTGATGCCCCCGGGAATGCAGACCCCCATGGTCCATTCTCGGGACAGCAGCTATTCGAACCTGAACCGTCTCAGTGAATATGTCACAGATCCGAAAACAAACTACAGTCGTGATATCAGCCCCAGCGGTACTGAAAAGCCGCGGTCCGGTCTGCAACGGCAGCTCTCACTTGGTGTTCGCTCCGGACCTGGTCATCAAGAGCGCCGTGGCCGTCGTGGACGCCAACGCGACAGTATCCCCGAACACGAAGACACCGCCGGGGCCATGACTGACGTTGAAGAAGACCACGAGGATATTGGCGATCAGCAGGACGCGGACGACGAGTACACTCTCACCCCGGCCCAGGTCGAGGAAGGACGTCGCTTGCAGGCGGTCCAGCAGCAGGGAGTTGGTATGCCCACGAGCTCGGGCATTCGCCGTTATAGTCAAGACTCCTTGCATCCGCGACAGCTTCCTAGCAGTCCTGGACCCGTTCCCACTCCTACACAGAGCCTCCTCCCGCCACCCAGGCTTGGGGATGCCGGTAGCCGACTCAGTAGCGCATCTGTTCTATCTCTGGACTCGGTCGTTGGCACCAAGACGGACTTTAAGCTGCAGAAGGTCGACCCCTTCTTTACGGATTCTACCGGCGAGTACTACAAGGCATTCGACAAGAAGCTGACCGACTTGAACGGCTCGAACTCCGAATCCCAGCTTTGCATTGAAGAATATCTCATTAAGAGTGAAAAGGAATGGTTCGACAAGTTCCGCGATGCTCGACTGGGTCGTCTGAAATCCCCCGCTTCGTCCGTCTTCCGGGACAAACATGGTGCCTCCCCCGTTGGTTCATACTACGATGACACTGGCTCTCGGGTGAGTGGCGACGATGATCGAGAGTCTCGTGATACGGAAGACGACGAGTTCCTCCTGGGTAAGGATTACGTGCCTCCGACGGGTCTGCGCAAGTGGATGCAGATTCGTGTCGGAGACTGGCCAGTCTACTCGTTGTTCCTTGCCTTGGGTCAGATCATTGCAGCAAACTCTTATCAGGTGACCTTGCTTACCGGTGAGGTTGGTGAGACGGCCGAGAAGCTTTATGGTATCGCTACCACCTACCTGATCACCTCAATCCTCTGGTGGCTCGTGTTCCGTTACTTCAAATCGGTGGTTTGCCTCTCGGCTCCCTGGTTTTTCTATGGCCTTGCCTTCCTCCTGATCGGCTCCGCCCACTTCGAACCCAACTCATTCAACCGGGGTTGGATTCAGAACATCGGCAGTGGATGCTACGCCGCTGCCTCCTCTAGCGGTTCCATCTTCTTCGCCTTGAACTTTGGTGATGAAGGTGGTGCGCCGGTTGAAACCTGGATCTTCCGAGCCTGTCTCATCCAGGGTATCCAGTCGGCTTATATTATCGGACTCTGGTACTGGGGTTCTACCCTGACCAAGGCGTCCAGCCAGGGTTTGTTGACCTCGACGAACAATATCGCCAACAGCTGGAAGATGACGTGAGTATCTTCAAGCCCCTGATTCATCGATCAATCAGCCATCTAGTCAGTCATTCGGCTCGCTAACAATGATCTCCTTTAGTGCCATCTGTTACCCGATTGCAATCTTCCTCTGGGCTGTGGGATTGTTGTTGCTCTTCGGACTTCCCAGCTACTATCGCCAGACCCCTGGAAAGGTGGCCTCCTTCTACAAGTCCGTATTCCGCCGCAAGATCGTCCTCTGGAACTTCGTTGCCGTCATCCTGCAAAACTTCTTCCTTAGCGCACCTTACGGTCGCAACTGGGGCTGTAAGTCTATCTCTTCCCGCCATATCTTGTCGAACTGGCAAGCTAACTCTACTCTGCAGTCCTTTGGTCTTCCAACCACGCTAAGGCCTGGCAAATCGTCATTCTATGTATCGTCTTCTACGGGTTCGTCTGGGCGGGCTTCCTGTTCGTCGTCAGCCGCTATTTCAAATCCCACAGTTGGTTCCTGCCCGTGTTTGCGTGCGGACTCGGGGCGCCTCGCTTCATACAAATCTGGTGGGGTGTCTCGGGCATTGGCTACTTCCTTCCCTGGGTCTCCGGAGGCTATCTCGGCGGAGCTCTGGCCTCACGGAGTCTCTGGCTCTGGCTGGGTGTGTTGGATTCGATCCAGGGTCTCGGGTTCGGTATTATCCTGTTGCAGACCCTAACCCGCATGCACATGCTGTTCACCTTGATCTGCTCGCAGGTGCTTGGTTCCATCGCCACCATCTGTGCCCGAGCGTTTGCCCCGAATAACGTCGGGCCCGGTCCTGTGTCGCCGGACCCTACCTTTGGAGGAAGTGCAGTGGCCAATGCGTGGTTCTGGGTGGCCCTGTTTTGTCAGCTGCTGGTGTGTGCTGGCTTCCTCCTCTTCTTCCGGAAAGAGCAGCTTTCCAAACCTTGAACGCCTTAATGATGTGGTGGTGCGCTTGAGCACCACTGGGCATGAACATTTTACATACGTCCCCACCATTCTTTCCTTCTTACCTTCCTTACCTACCTACCTACCTACCTACACCCCTTGGATATACTCTTACTGTCTGTCATAATATAATCTTTCCTGTATGTATATAGAAGGTCGCATGATGAACCGGATAAGGTTTCGGTCGTCTCATTGAATACCATTGTGGGATTGGAAAATAGATCCCTGCAGATTCATCTGCTGTTCATCTCTTTGATCATGCGAGAGGTAGCCTGTAGCCAGTAACTTGTATTAGGTGCAGAATAGTGAGCCCAACCATCTCTCCAGTACCGTATGCCTGCCACAACCCAGGAAGGGATAGATTGCTGCCTCAGGTTCTCAACACTTCCCAAAGGAACCACAGAAAACCATGATTTACTAGCAACAAAATAATAATCCGAACGATTATGTTATAGTTAATCCAAAAGGGAACAAAATAAATTATTCGAAAAGAGAAAAAGGAAAAAAAGGAAAACAGAATCCGAAAGGGAGTCCCGAAACAACTCCCGCCTCGGCCGGGACTATTCCCGATGTAGACAACCGGGAGCTCCACCGCGGTCCTTCCGGGCGAGGCAGACGAACTAATAATATTGAGAATGCGGGAGGGAGTGGGAAGTTAGAGAGACTCTGGAACAGTTGTCCCCCCCTCCCATCCCTCCCTCTCTTTCCTCTCTCTCTTCTCTCTTCTCTAGTTCTGTTCATCCTCTTCCTTCCATCTAACTTCTCCCATCATGTTAATACGGATTGCTTGACTCCACACCTAACACTGCTGTCCCCATCACAAACATATACTGTGTGCACACAATACATACCCCCTCTCTCTCTCTCGTCATCTACTTGTTTGATCATCTATCATGAAGGGAAAAAAAAAAAACGCTACTTGATGAGCTCATCGCTCCTGCAATGTGGAATGATCGAAAGGTGGAAAGATGAAAGATGATGAAAATGCATCGACATTGGCTAACACTTGCCGTTCGCTGATTACAATAACACAAGAAAGAAACAACAGATGGACTGGACCCGACCCGAACTGACTCCCAAACGAAACCGTCTTCTCCTTCCTAAACATCCACCTTGAACGATGTGAGCCGCGCCTTGATCGCCTCCTCCGACTCGTCCGTGTCCAACTCCCGAAGAACACCGCTTCCGACATCATAAATCAGCCCATGGATCTGCAGCCCACGTTCCTGGATCGCCTCCAACACCACGCTCTTCTCCTTCAACAGCTTGACTCCCTCCAAGACATTCAGCTCAACCAGCTTAAGGTTCGCCTGGTCAGCCGGCAGCGAGTTCAGCAGATCCAGGTTCTTGGCCCGGAGCTGGCGCAGGGGCAGCAACCAGGGGTCCAGGATTCCCAACTGTTTGTTACCCAGGGCCGCGGCGACACCACCGCAGCTGGTGTGACCACAGAGGACTACATGGTTGACGCGCAGGTAACGGACCGCGTACTCGATCACGGCAGAGGAGCTGAGGTCGCCGGCGTGCAGGACGTTGGCGATGTTCCGGTGGACAAAGACATCGCCCGGCTTAAGACCAAGAAGAGTGGTTTCGGGGCATCGGGAATCGGAGCAGCCGATCCAGAGGATCTCGGGCTGCTGGCCGTTCGCAAGCGTTGGGAACAGTGAGGGGTCTTCCTTGGAGATCTGTGCTGCCCAGTCTTTGTTCTGGTGCAGAGCAGAGGTGAAGCGGTCTGCGTCTGTATTAGCACACGCTGGTGGCTTGGTGGTTGAGAAGCAGGCGGCTTGTCGAGGTGGGAAAAAGGAGACACGCTGGGAGGGAAGAGGAAAGCTGGCTCGTGAACTTGACTGCATCCCCGACCGGGGGAAGGTATGTATCCCGACCCTGGAATACATCCGCTGCAGTCGCGAAAGAAGCCTTGTGGACTCCATGATGGTGTGAAGAGGATGGATGGACAAAAATGCAGCACCACGAGGATGAGTCACAGCCAGGGGAACTCGAAAAAAAAAAAAAAAAAAAAAAATGAAACGGTAAAAAAAGAATAATGATCACAAAGGAAAAGGAAAGGAATAAAATAATAATAAAAAAAAAAAAAAAAAAAAATGAAACGGATATCAAAAATGGAAGGGCAGGGATTTCGATATGTTTGCAAGTTGGACTCGATGAAGCAACAAAGGTGGTACAGGAACAGAGGCAACGACACGCTGAGGATTCGCTGTGGAGGGAGTTGAGGGAAAAGATGAGGAAAAGGTAAAATCTGTGGGGAGCCGCCGCTTTGCGAGTCTATCCAGAAACGCCAAGAATGGATGGTTCTATTCTGCTGGTGCTGATGCTCACTTACCTGTGCCAGTGGACGCCATGATAACTGATGTTGAAGAGAGATTTTGCAGTGACCTTGTCGGACAGTCTTTTGGATTCAGGATACTGAGTATTTTGAGTTGGCTACAACGCTCCCTTTCTTTCTTGCCCCCCCGCCGGCAATTCCTTGGGGATTCTCGTCGGCAATGCCACCCCCAACCATGCAAACAATGCAAACACCCCAACTCACCGGACACCCAAAGGCGCCATCGGTCACATTTTGGTCGAATTAGACCTCTAGAGATAGGCAGATCAGCAGCTAGGGGAGATGCATATACTACATTGCTAACCAATTTGCACCCGATAAGGGTGCATCCAGGGGGACTACCATACGAGTTGGTGGTGGCCTTCCCTTCGGCCGTGCAGGCACCCGCCTCCCTTGTTGAGACGCTCGGCAATACCCGGCGTCACGTGTGGATGGGGTGTCCGTTTTTTGCCGTTGAACCCCCAACAGTCGAGACTGGGTCGACAATGCTGTCTCCGAGGACAAACTGGTTAGTAGTGATCACATTGGAGTGATCAAGGCACCTAGCGGATATGATGGGATTCTGTGTGGCTGTTATGGTCACTCGGAGGGTGTCTACAGTAGTCTGTAATGTCGCAGGGAGGTTCGTAGGCCGCCATTCCTTATGCACCAGCTGCGTCGATGCGCAAGCACGGTAGGATACCATCCTTGATGTACCACTGAGACATGCACCGCCAGTATGGGCAGACTGTCCAAGTTATGATCCACTGCTTCGCGGTCCGGGTGAGGGTTGCTCCTACCCCGGCAGAAACCCCAGGAACAGGAGTACCTATCTCCAAGATCGACCTCAACAATCCCATGCTCCATTTACATGCTGCGAACCACCAGTATATCTCGTAAACCCTATGCAGTGTGCCGTGCCAATCTCCGCTGTAAGCTGGAATGGCAGCCTCACATCATTAGAGGATCCAAATCCGCCCAATTATTTATCGGATAAGGCGACAGCGGATCAAGCGCGAAACACCAGTCGAAATCAAGCTGTCTCTACATATAAAGATGTAGTCAGAATCGAGGCACATAAGAATCAAGCAGAATTGCAAATACATACCAGATCATCAGCTGCAGCATCATCCCAAGCCACTGGCCGCGGGGCATTCGTATGATGACACGCATCTACAGCTGTATCTAATTCCAAACCCTGCGTTTGCGAAGACTCTGCCTGCTTAAACTTAGCTGGTATAACCAGAGTAAAATCAGCAGAAGACAATGAATAACACCTACCGCTTGATATACCCCACCACCCTCTCCCTCCGCAAGGTGTCCTATTCCTCTCCCCTCATCCTGACATTGATATCCCTCCAATAGCGCATCCCTACACCTCCTCGAAGCAACCGGACATGCATCATCGACACCCAACGGCTCCGTCTCCTCACCCCCACCCCCATCTATACTTCCACCAGCAGCAGCAGCCATCTCACTCCTAACCACCATAAAAAGAATCATCAATATACTAAACATCTTCGTCGCCCTCTTCTCCACTCTCACCTTCCCCTCAAAATACCTAATCGTGTTCTCCACGCTCTCGAACAGCGCCAGCCGCTGATAATACACGCTTTGATCCATGTATTCCGAGATACTAGTTCCCGGAAAAGGTATATTGAATACTCGGTCATGGGATTTGGTTTGTAAGCGCAGCTCGAAGCAGATTGTTGCTGCCGCGTGGAAGAGGTCGTCGCGGAAGAGCCCGCCTTTGAGGTAGTGTATGTGTGGGGAGAATTGGTTGTCGTTGTTAGGTAGTGGTGCTGATGGCTGGTTGTTGTTGGGGCGGTGGTGTGGAAAGCGCTCTAGCTGAGAAAGCAAAGCTAGGCTGGTCTGGACGCAAACTCGTCGCGAGAATATGAAGGGTTCCTGGTCGAGTTGGGTTTCTGTGAATCGCAGGAAGAAGGGTCGGTGGAGGGCGAGGAGGCTGCGGTAGTGCAAGAAGAGGAAGAACGAGCGGCGGAACTGTGTGTTGACGCTGCTGTCGTTAGGTGAGGGTGATGTACTGGTGTCGTCTCGGAGGTCTGCTGGAGCCTGCGCCAGTCCTGTTGTCAGGCGTTCGCTGAGGGTGGTGACTTCATCGTTGTAAGTCGCGCTCAGGCGTACCCGATTGACCATTTTAGATATAGCTATTCGAGTCTCTAGTGTCTGCGCTAGAGCAATCTGGAAGGATGTTCTTGTTAGGGTATTTGATTTCCTTGAGGGAGGTAGATGGGGTGAGACGATGGTAATGTCCTCATCGTCAATGTCAGATGGCAAAGGGCTGTCAAATTCGTCCCATGATACTGCCAATGGTATCCCACTGTACAGAGAGGCTTGGAGCTCCAGCTCGATGATGGTCAGCCAGAGACGTTTGCGCAGTTCAGCCCAGAACGGGGAGACGTTGGGGAAATTGCATGGATCCCGATGAAGGCCCATGAGCATCACTTCGCGAAGTAGTGAGCCGGATGCCAGGCTGGCAAGATCGCCGTCTTGGGCGGTTGCTTGCTGTGCAAGGAGCAGTAGGCATTTTATCTGGATCACATCCAAATTCAGTTGGGCGTGGCTTGTCATGGCTGCTAGCCATGTGGTGACTGCTGAGATCCAAGTATGACATGTCTGTATCAGTGACTGCGGGCTGAAGCCCGCGGATGCCAGTGGTTCTGTCTTCTCGGTGGCGAAGCAGCTGGCGCATGCCATTAACATCAGGAGTTTTGCGATAAAGATATCAGACTTGTTATTGAGCAATCCGTCAGCGTGGGATACGCTCCGATCACAGAAAGCATTCCATTCGCTGATGAATGATGGGACGTGCAGTATGCGTAATGTTGTCTCGAAGGTTGAGAAGTATGATCGCATCAGGTATTCGGCTAGAGGACGATCAGGCAATAATTCAATCAGTTTTGAAGAGGGTGGCTGGTCGCTCTGTCGTCGTCTCTCAGGTCCCCTCAGATCATGTTTTAGTCGTCTTAGGGATAGGTAATCCGTGAATCCTGGGTTGGTGGGAGTTTGCTTGTTCCGATAGTACTCATGCAAATGGGTGTTGAAATCGGGGAACTGCAGTTGACTTGTTAGCCATGCAATTGAGCCAAATGGCAACAGCTTGATTCTTACCATCCCAAGGGTAGTCGCCCAGTGACTCCGTCCAAAAAAGCGGGTTCTTTGTTGCTTCCCTCGAAATGACAACGGCGAGAGATATTGAGAGAAAGTATCCCCTGATGCAGATGAGGCCTGCCCTCTATCATATTGAGGCTCTACGTCAAAGCATCGAGGGGCTGTGATTCCCCTCGTCGAACCCACTGCATTCAAGGGTGACGACCGAAAGATAGACCTTCTCGCAGCAGCATCCCCATCAACATTGCACGTACTCCCAGCAGTGACAGTAGACGGGGGTGTATCAAGCGGAGGCCCAGCAGACGGTTGCCTGACCGCACTTGCACTTCGCGCATCTTCTTCTCGTACAACCAGAGACGATTTGGCAGCTCTGGGTGTTAATCCCGGGGAGGACTGCGATGGAGAAGAAGTAGCAGAAGGATAGAAGCAAGCATCTTGGGCGTTGGCGCGCACACACTGCGCGCAGGGCTTTGAACGATCGCACTTGATTTTGCGATCGCGACAGGAAGTGCATGACAGGACCTTCCGGTGTCTTCGGGTAGGGACAGGCCTTCGTTGGGGATTTACTCTCATGATGCTTCGCTTAGTTGCGTTTAAGTGGTCCGGCTGCGCGGGAGCCATGACACCGTGGGGTGAGGGTGGTTGACCCGCTGATCGGAGTTGGACAAACGTAGTAAAGGTAGGGTCCGAGAATGTCGGATATGAAGTAAATGAGAATTAAATGAGACAAAATTAGATCATGGTGGCTGAAGTGGGGGAAGAGAGAATAGTAGTGATGATATCCTTCGGTGTTAAGACATATCCTAATCAGGAATTAGGGAAGTCCGGACCGGCGTCTTACCGTATGTGGTAAGCCGAAGTCCGCCGGCCTGTTGGTTGTCCCAAAGAAGTAATATAGCCATGTGTAAGGCGATCTATACTGGACCTCATTCACTACTGTTCTGGGAGTGCGTATGTCTGCTCAAAACCTCCCTACAAGGTCTTATTCTGCGACTTCGTCTACTTACAGCAAACATTGGTCGACTCAACCGCCGAAAGACGACAGAAACATGAAGCATTGATAGGAACATCCGCCGAAGCCAGCGCAACGTCGCGTTGAGCACGAATATACCGAGCCTTGTCATGCATCCCCTGCCGAATCAGACACTCATACAAGCCATGCAAACTCCAGACGTTGTTCAATCTTGCCTTCCGACGCGGGAGGGTTTCACTCAACCCCAGATCCTCTTCATACACATGCTGTGCTTCACTAACGTGACCCTGTTCGAGAAGCAGAGCCCCGAGGGCATGTCGTGCAGGCTGCATCCATGGCGGAGGATCAGCGTAGACAAGGTTATCCTCCAACTTTGTCGCTTGTCGCAAGTGATCGAATGCCTCCTCAAAGTTGCCCTGACGATACTCGATCTCTCCTTTCAACATAGCCGATCCGATCTCAAGGACGTCCACCTCGCGAACGGGCAGGCTGTTCAAGCGAGACGGGGGAACCTTTTTGCGAGCAGCCTCAAATTTTTCCCTTTCCTCTTTGGCTTCATCTACGCGATTCAATACCGCCAAAGCAATGCCGCGGGCATAGTAGATCATCGCCGTCGTGGACGCGTATAGCTCCTTATCCTTGGGGAGCTGTAGATCTAAGATATCATTCCACCGTCCAAAGCGAATCAAGACATGGGCTATGGCTCCCAGAAACCCTTCTGCCCAATTCGCAATAGGAGGAGTGGTGATAGACAAGAGCTCGGGGGTGAGGATTTCCTGAAGACGCTTCATGCCGGAGATGGCCTCTGCAAAGTTCCCAGAGATGACTGCACCATAGACCTTCACGTAGATGTTGTGCGATCGGTACATGATATACAAGAGGGTGCCCGGCTCCCTGGCAAAGTATTTGTCGTCGACAGCCATGGCCTGGTTGTTCGAATCAATAACCGCTCGATAGTCACCACAAGCGACGTAAATATGGCTAGGCATATGCAGCATATGCGAACCATCTGGCACGAGTCGAAGAAGTCGATCCGCAGCTGGTAGTGCGACCTCCGGATATGGCGCCATTTCCATGAGATGGATATACAGATGGCAGTAGGCCGGATTGTTACTGGCCCCGGGGAGGGAGGCCATAGCTTTCTCAAGAACCCGACGAGCCTCAGTAGTATGGGGACCGCAGGGCTCGCCGGTGTCAAGATTCCACAGAGCCCGCGGGGATATGCACATGAGTGACTCTACAAAGAGAGCCACAATATCAGGGTCCTCCGGATAAGCCTCGTAGACGGGTCGCATGGCGTCTGCATAAGCCCGATCCAACGCATGAAGATCCAGATCCTCTGGCTTCGTTTCATCAGCTTCTTTGGGGAACCGAGCCCCCAGGGCCTCAATCAAGGCCCTTTCGGCCGGACTCGCCCCTTGTGCTGCCAGAGCCCGGGCGCGTTGGAGTACGGGTTTCATTTCCGTAATAGTTGTGGCCAGGTCCACTGGGTCAAAGCGAATCCAGGCCTTGTTGTAGTTTGGTCCACGGGCATAGGCTAGACCCCAGTACGCCATGGCACAACTCTCATCGGCCTTGCTGGCTTTAATGAAGCAGCGGGAGGCTTCTTCATGGTTGAAGGAATAGGACCAAACCAGTCCGCGGTTAAACCATAGCTGGGCGCCGGAGGAGTTGGTCGTTACGGTTCGGCCGTACGGGCCAAGGTTGAAGTAGTCGTCGGTCATGACAGTGGTGGAAGGAGAATAATATTAATGTTTCATTTGAAGCGAAGAAGGATGAGGTAAATCTGGGTTTGGTCTGGATACTATTGAGCTGATAGTAAGTAGGAAATGTGCCAGTTGGGTGTTCTTCGGGCGGGGTCGGCCTTTTATAGTTTATTGTTGTAACTAACTAGTACTACATGTAGTTGGGCTGGAAGGTGTGATCGGGGGTCTACTACTTTTAGCTGCATACGTCGTATGCAGCTACTCCTCACCCAGTACTGATAATAGTACTGATAGTAATGACATGAGGAGATATGCAAGTCGATCGGCAATACCACCATACCACTGGTCCATCAGACGAAGAAATGATCGGACATAGTATTGATCCACCCAAGTTGTGGGACAAGACATTCATCGGCATTGGACCGGTGATAAGATGTTACCATAGCAGGAAAGAATGATATCCGAGTACTCCGTGTAATGTCTTCAAAAATAATAATAAGTTACTCGATACTACTCAAAATGCCGGTGGAGCTGCTCTCCTTTCATTCCCCGGAGATAAGCGGGAGACAATCTTAATCAGAAAATGCGTCTTTTTCGCGGGAAAATTAGAACTCCCAATATAAGATGACAAGTACTAACCCTACCACAGACACTTCCCTAGTATTGAATAGTATTTCACCCATGACTCCCAAGATGTTACTCTATAGAACAAGTCCAATCCTCCACAAAACTCCCCACACTCGCCGCCTCTTTTCCATCCTCTCCCCAGCACAAGCCTGTCGATCCACTAACACCCAGACCCCAAGCTGTCCCAAATCATCATCCCCAACAACAACCGGAAACCCTTCCCCATCATGTTCAACTGCCACAGAACTACCACAATTCCAAAACCCTCTGATATTCAACTTCTGGACAAGCAAACCCGCCTGGAAGCGCGCCAGCATCAACACCCTCCGCTGCCTCGTTGGCTGCACGCTGGGTGATTTCTCCGCCCTATGGATTCTCCAAACCTACTATCCCCATCTAGGCATGGGTCTTATCATGGGTGCCTCGAGTACGTCTCCAGTCTATTCTCCATACAATTTGATAAAAACTGTGTAAAGAATGTCTAATGCAGAACATAGTGGCCTCCGGAATCACCACATCCATCATCCTCGAGACCATCCTCCTCCGCCGGGGCGCTGACCAACTCTCCTGGCCTGCGGCTGCCCGCACCGCCATGGGAATGAGCATGGTGTCGATGTTGGCCATGGAGACGGCGGAGAATCTGGTCGATTATCATCTCACGGGTGGGATGGTGAATATGGCTGACCCAATGTTCTGGACTGCTGCGGCTACGTCTATCGCGGCGGGTTATTTGGCGCCGTTGCCGTATAATTATTTGAGGTTGAGGAAGTATGGGAGGGCTTGTCATTGATGAACTTGATTAGGATTCATGTGTAGTCCATAGTATGTAGTTATATCCTCTGCTCTGTATGTATATCGTTTGCTACGGATCGGCAATAGAGTAATCTCAAAATCAATTTAGAGATGTCTCGGCTTTCTGCGTCTAGCGGTTGTGTGAAGAATAGCTTCATGGGTATTATGTCTCTGGATTTGGCAATTATAGTAACACTTTTCACTAGCCATGGAGTATAAGTTTAAGGACCACCCTTTAATAGGGGGCCCCAATTAGTTGTATGTTAGTTCAAGCAAAACACAAAGGTGGCTTTCCGCCCCTGCACGTGGGTTAAGTACGCATCGAGCTCATGATCTTCGTCAATCACAAACGGAATCTCATTGCCCTTCTCATCACGGTCCATTCCCTCGATCTTCGTGACCACAGCGTCCGGGTACTTCTCGCCGACAATCTGCTGCAGCTCAGCCACCGATCGTGCCGTCAGCTTCTCCACCCATGTCTTCGAGTCGCCGTGCAGCGGACTCTGGGGATGGATGCGAAGGTAGACAGGTACATGCAACACAGATGGCCCCAGAATCGGGTCTACATAGCCAAAAGCAGCTGCTGAATCGGAAGGACCCGTCGCGAAGGAAGGGTCATTAGCAGCTTGCAGCAGGGAGGGATCGATTTGCATGTCACTGAGATCACTCGGAGCACTGGCCAGCGCCTGCGAGGCGAGTGTGCTGATTCCATTGGCAATGCCGCTCCCGTAGCTGCTGCTGACTGGAGGACTCCCCGGTTCTGACTGAGAAGCTGGGGCGTGAGGGACAGATTGTTTGCGGGCGGGATCCCGCTTGGTCTGGTCATCGCGAAGCCGCTTCATGACGTCGCGGCACAGCACTTCCAGCGCCTTCACTTTCGCCGTGTGCTCCGGGTCCGCCGGGCCTGGCGCAAGAATCTGACGTAGGAGTTCCGAGTTTTGGATCCATTGGTCCTTCAACTCCTTCCAATGTTCGTCGCCAGCCTCCAGCTTACTCGTGAAATGGTCCGCCTTCAGGGTGTTGTAGAATGCATTCCGTATCTGGCGGCTCTCCTCCGGGTTGATCCCGAGGACATTCTTCGCCTCGGCAATGGTCATTCGCCGTTCCAAAGTCCTCATCCTCTTCGTCACATCAGTGCATAACACATCCAAGGCAAGTGTTTTGGCTTCTAGCTGGTTGGGATCATGCCAGAAAACCTGCTGGAGATGTGGTGATCCCTCAATCAGTTTGTTCTTGGCGTCCTGCCATCTCTCAGGTCCCGCAACGGTCTTTTTGATGAAGCCTGCTTCTTCACAGATCCGTTGGAACTGATCCCGTACCTGGCGATACATCGCATTGTCCAGCCCGAGATACTTTTTGCTTTCGTCAATGGTCGTCTCGGAGGGGAAGCGGGGAGGTCCCGGCGGGTCAGCGGGCAGCCCTGCCCATCCGCGAGTCCGGCGGCGACGCTTCCTGCTCGCCCAACGCTCTTCACTTTCCGCTTTGAGGCGCTCGAGGCGCTCCTTGCGCTTGGCAAGAACTTCGGGAGGTAGGTTCGGGGAGGTAGGGTCGTCTGTCGTGGGGGTGGGGAGGTTCTCGGTCTCGTCAAAGGGCGGTGCTTCGGTTTTGTACACTTCCTGCTGGAGGGCGAGGAGTCCTTCATCTTCGGGCAGCTGGATTGGCGTCTGAATGCGCGATTGTGACTTCATCCCGTTGGGGACCCGAAGCAGCCAGCGATTCTTGGCCCGCACCCGCATCAACTCCCGCTCTTTGATCTCAAAACCCTCCTCATTCAGTATGCGAAGCATATCCCGCTGACTTGTATTCTTCTCCCATAATTGCTTGACTCGTGCTACGAGCTTGGCGTTTTTATGCGCAGGATTCTGTTTCGAAGGGAAGCCCCACCGTTTGAATTGAGTCTGAAACGCGCGTTTACTATAAAATCGCGCGAGGTTAGATAAAGTAGCAGACGCCAAGGGACAGATTTGGGATATTTGGCATTAAATATGTGAACAGAAGCGCACAAGAAGTATCACTGATGGCGTGTGCGTAGAATCACTGACCTTGGGGCGAACTGGTAGACATTCTTCATGTATTCCATAATCTCCTCCAAGGCCTTCTTATCCTTGATATACATCTGATAGCAGATCTCCCGCTTGCCATCCCAGTCGTAAACCATGGTGACGGGATGAACAAGGGAGGTGACACACCCTCCCCAGTGGAGGTAGTGCCTGGGGGGGTAACAACCCAGCCAGCCCAGCTGGGTGGAGTGTGGAGAGAAGTTGGGAAGGGTGAAAGATGGAGAGTGACTGCTCGAGACACTGGGGGTGCTTGCTGTGCCCCGTAGTCGCGCCTGCGAATCCGTCGTGCTTCTGGACCGCCGTAGTGCTAGTCGGTTGAGGGGAGCCAGACGGTGCACTTGCGCAACAACCCTGAGGAGTCACCTGACTTGCTGACTGGCAATCGGCGCGGATTAATAATCCAATGCCGATATGCCCCTCCGCGCTGTGCCGTTACGTGATCGGCGGCCTCCCCGCAGATTACTAGATTTCTTCGTCTACTACTACTTCTTCATCTCTTGCTCTCTTCTCTGCGAATTGAACTCTTAGATTGGCATTACCACTACTGTGGATTCGTCAGGTACTGTCGGACACATCTTTTGAACTATATCTCGCAATGGCCGACTCCGTCTACGCGGATTATCCACCCCACCTGAACCCCGCACAGAAGGAGTTCCTGGTCCGGACAGTGAAAGATTGGACTGTTCAACATGGATTGATGATCCGTCCTGCACCGACATTCATCTCCAAGGAGTCAGACCCTCAGGGCGTCGTGGCGACCAGTGCCCCGGTCACCTTGTTTCCTAGTCCTTTTCCCAAATCCTGCTTTGAAGAGGCCCAGGCCCTCCAAACAGTGTACAACCAACTCTATGCCGCGATCACCTGTGATGAACAATGGATTGGAGATATCATGGAAGAGTAAGGGGCACCTCTGAGCCATAATTCTGCTCTCAGCTTTGTGGAACAACTTCTGCGTTCTGCTGCACTTCGTTTGCTTTCGAGCTCCAGATGTGGATGCTAAACCGTTCTTCACTTTAGCCTCATTGACGTGGACGACTTCATCTCGCACCTCTGGAATGTTCACCTCGCTGTTAAGAAGGAAGGTTACGTCCAGAACCTCTCCCTTGGCCTCTACCGGTCCGATTACATGCCTCACATGCCGTCTGCCTCGTCTCCTCCCTCCTTGAAGCAGGTCGAGTTCAACACCATCTCATCATCCTTCGGCGGGTTGTCAACGCTCGTGACTTCCCTGCATACTGAGCTTCTCAACTCCCCACCGGGTCATCCCCTCGCTTATCCGTCGCACCCTCTGCTTAGCTCGAGCCAGCCTCCAAAGAATACGTCTGTGGAGACCCTCTCTGCAGGCTTGGCTGCAGCACACACTGCCTATGGATCATCCAAGTCATCCCCAGCCCTGCCTACATGCATCATCTTTGTTGTCCAGGAAGGTGAACGGAACGTCTTCGATCAATTAGCTCTCTCGAGGCAACTTACCCAAACTCACAAGTTCCCCGTGTTCCGCTTGCTCAGCTCCGAAGTCCTCACGCACACTCACATTCCTGCCTCCAATCCTTCCCGGCCGCTCATCTACCGCCCCCCTCACGCTGAAGGAGTAGAGTTTGAAGTTACAACAGTGTACCTCCGTTCTTTCTACACGCCGACCGACTACAAGTCCGAGCGAGACTGGGATGCTCGTATCCATCTGGAGCGTTCCGCCGCCATCAAATGCCCCACTGTCTTGAACCAGCTTGCGGGATCTAAGATCGTACAGCAGGTGCTCGCGGAAGCCCAGGGGCCGGATCATCTTGCCAAGTTCCTTGCCGGTACTGATTCATCTACGATTGAGAGGCTACGAGCGACCTTTGCTCCGCAATACGACCTTTCCTCAAGTGGCCGTGGGCGCAGCCTTGCCTTAACTCCCGAAACAGCAGCCAACCACGTGCTGAAACCCCAGCGCGAGGGCGGTGGGAACAACATCTACAAAGAGGCGATCCCTGACTTCCTGCGATCCCTCCCTGAGACGGAATGGAAGCGATGGATCTTGATGGAGTTGATCCAGCCACCTGCCGAGGCCAAGAACGTAGCACTGCGACCCGACGGAGAGGTCCTCAGCGGAAATGTCATCGGAGAACTGGGTATCTACGGCACGATCCTCTGGGACCAGGCTGGAGGCAACATCCTGCACAACGAACAGGGCGGTTGGCTCATGCGGACCAAGGGCAAAGACGTCAACGAGGGAGGCGTTGCCACCGGATTCTCCAGCCTGGACAGTGTCATTCTCTATTAGAAAAAAATACGCCATCTGTACATCAGCTACATCTGCCATATATATCTATTATAGACAATATATAGATAAATAATCACTTCTCAGAACCACCTCTACTACTACTCGTAGAATCTTCCCTAACCCATTGCCCACTCTTCCCCCCCTTCTTCTCCAACAGCCTCACCCCCTCAACTATCATCCCCTTATCCACTGCCTTCAACATATCATATACCGTCAATGCCGCCCCCATTATCGCCGTCATCGCCTCCATCTCCACCCCCGTCCGTCCCTCACAACTCACACTAGCCACGACCCTCATTCCCCCATGTCCTAAATCCCACTTACCACCATTATCACCATGCTTAGCCGACGCAGCCTCCGGCCCAACCAACTCCACATCCACCTCCACCCCCGTGATCCCTATCCCTGGATGACACAGGGGTATAATATCCGGTGTCCTCTTCGCAGCCATAATCCCCGCGATGCGCGCTACACTAAACACATCCCCCTTTTTGGTCATCCCGCCGTCGCGCAGGATCTCCCAGGGCCGCGGGTTGGAGAATTGGATATGGCAGGTTGCTGTTGCGAGGCGGAAGGTTATGGGTTTGCTGGATATTTTGGTCATGTGCACATTTTGCGAGGCGTTGAGGTGTGGGAGGTCGGGGTCCGGGGTTGTGGGGAGGGATATGGGTTTGGTGGTGTTGTTGTTGGTGGATGATTCACTGTTGTTGTTTGCACGCGAGGTGTGGTGGTGTCTCGATTGGGGGAGGTATGATCGTGGGATGCGCTGCCCAGGTGTTTGGCGGGGGATGGAGGGAGTGGGCTTATAGTTCGAAGAATGCTGGTTTCGCAATGATGGGTTATCTGTTTGGTGTCTGTTAGCGGAGAAGGAGTACATGCATGGCACATGATGCTGGATAGAAAGCATTCAGTGAATCTATCGCTTACCTACCAATAAGTAATATGGGGTTGCAGCTGGGTATTCTGGCGGCGTGATGAGTTGAATAGCTGCGGGAACAGCGAAGGGATGACAAAAGCGGCGCAGCTCCGCGACTGCGCCATAGGAGTTCAGTCATTGTTTAGAGAATAGTTAGGTTAGCGCAAACAGTAGGCTATAGGATCACTGTGAAATAGACGAAGAATTCTCCCTTGATACGTGTTGAGTGCGATGTGATGGGAGTGAGTCTAGAGGGAAGGAGCTATCGGGGAAGCTTTGGATGTTGTTTCTTATCGGTGGGGATTATCCCGCCGCAAATCGCGGCGGAGATCCCCGGTGCGGGTCACGTGAGGATTGCGGTCAGGAGAAATTACCGGTTGTTTTCATGATAGTACATCATAACGAAGATTATGTTAGATGGTCAGCCCGTCATCTGAAGTGAATGATAAATGGTTGCGTGGCCGATATTCGTTGAGAACTAGTAGTAGTATTACCTTGCCCTTGTCCACCCTCATTCCGATACTACTATATATCTTAACTTAGAACCCTCTTAGGACTGCCGCATGATCGCCATAGTGCCAGTGGTTGACAATCTAGTATGTCTGGATAGTCTGCGCAGTGACTCTCCATTGAAAAAGAGACGCAGCTCCTAAGTAGTTTCGGTCGAGCCAATCCCACCAGAGACAAAATCCCAGGACATCTCATAGGCCTCTAGGCCGGAGATAGCAATGACGGGCTTACTATTCGTGGCCTTGGGGTACCACGGCGATCACTTTCATTTCCACTACAGACGCTACTATCATCGTTGATTCAAAACCCAGTCAGTCAGCATCTGCTATAGTATGTTCAACTGTTCCATGAGGTCAGACATGCCACTCGCCGTGGCTTGAGACATTTCCATTTCCCCGCCCGTGAGTCTCAGACGCTCAACCACCATGTGAGCAGCTGCGTGATGGGTTGATGCGATGAAGAGGTGACTTGATGCTGTTGTACGACTGAGCAAGCAAGCAAACAAGCGAGCAGGAGTTTCTCCACATTACTACCGACGCCACCAATTACAATCTCACGTCATATCGTATCGAATGTCCAAGCAGTACCCGAATATAGTTGAAGTGGTTCAAGAACTGTCGGATGAGATTGAATATAACACTTTGCTCCGCAGACAATCCGATTTGCATAATGGACTACAAGTGGACAAGATGCCATTTCTCGATGTTTGGTGTGGTTCCTGACCCGTTCATCAATCAGTCCGGCCCCTTCCCCGCGGCCATTCCCCCGCATTTCCCCCCTCCTCTTCGAAAGCCCTCCAATGCACCAAGACCCTAGTGGCAGGAGTGGCGTTGTCGCATTGCAGCGACACGCAGGAGGACTAGTCTGGTCATTGGCGACGCTTTCCATATCAGGAAGTATCAGGCAATTGGCGGGGATCAGAAAGTGTCAAGCCGGATGCAAGCTCATCAACTGTCGAAAACTAGTTCGAGTTCGAACAGGGTCCGATAAAACCTCTCCAGTCAGCACTCTGTACTTGTGAGACATACACCTTCAGTGTCGAGCCTCCCTCTCAGGCTCCAAGCGATCCTGGTCGGTAGGACGCCTGAATACCACTTCCCTGTCTCCCGAGGGGTTCACCGTTGTCTCGGTCAGCTGCGGAACAAACCTGGTGCTGCATTAGAAGGAGGATAACTTTAATTTCAGGCTCTAGAAAACATGAACCATCTTTTGTTATGGAACGGATTAGCCGGTCTTGGCCATCGGGAGCGGAAATGCTACGACGGATATGAAGAGACGTCGTGCAGAAAGGGAAGACTACCGCCGTCAGTCCTACTGAGTAGGTGAATCCCACCTCACAAGGTAACACCCGGCAGAAAGACCCTCGTCACCCGATTTACCCGGAGTGTCCGTCGTGGTGAGACTTTTGCAGACTATCCTCGCTATACAGCATCACCAACCAGGATCATTCCAAGACATGACTAGCCTGACGAGAGCCCAGGGCAAGATAGGCGTCCCTAGTATTATCTCACTGATGCCTCCATAGAGGTAGCTTTGCCATCATGGAAGACTATATAAATCACCTCCCTACCCTACCATCCAGATTCATCTCTCATCCTCAGAAACAGCCTCTCTCCTCTCAAGATATTAAGAACTACAAGAATATCCACCATGTATCTCACATACATCACCCTCGTCACCCTCCTCTCACTTGCCTCAGCCGCAGTACACATCCCCCGCGATGGCACTCCCACCACCCTCACAGCCGCCGCAGTCATCAATGCCGTGGCTACCCCTTCCCCAATCCAGCCCGGCATGACCAGCAACTGTGACTCCTTCCACCTAGTATCCAGCACCGACACCTGCGTCACCATTGCCTCCAGCGCCGGTATCACACTTGCCAACTTCTACTCGTGGAATCCGGGTGTTGGCTCCGGCTGCGACACTCTCTGGCTGGGGTACTATGTCTGTACCGGAGTGAGTGACACTACCACCACTACAACCACATCTACGACTACCACCTCCACCACTACGAGTGTTACCACCCCATTGCCCACTCAAGCGGGGATGGTGAGTAACTGCGATGCCTTCTATCTGGTTGCCTCTGGGGATACCTGTACGACAGTGGCGCAGAAGAAGAGTGTGCCAGTGACGGATATTATCGCTTGGAACCCGGCAGTGGGGACGGGTTGTACTAATTTGTGGTTGGGGTACTACATCTGTGTGGGGGTGTTGTAAGGCTATGGTCGATGTGGGAGATGTGATTGATGTGTTTCTTGACAGGTGTGCCGGTTGATAGTTTGGTATGTTGGACATCGTTTTTGGACTTAGTCTAGTAGCTAGAGATTGAGTAATTGTGAACTACCTTTGTTTGATCAGCGTTACAACGGAAACACCCATTTAATCCAGTCCATACAATCCTAGTCTTCCATAGCAGGAGTCTACCAGAATAAGCCATATAGAGAAAAGCCGGCCTGAAGGATTAGATAGAGATAGCGCATAGTTATGGTGATCTTGTGACTTGACAGCATTCTGATGAAAGTAGCATTGAACCGCTGCTGTACCACCTGGTTAGCATCTCACTTGGTAGATCAGATGATGAAGATTACCAAGACCAGAGACTTCGAACATATAGATCGTAGATATTATTTAGTAACAAGTAGTAACAAGAACAATGAGATAAATACTACGTAAGCCAAAGATTCTCGTGGTGGTTCGATACCAATAGTAAAGTTATCAAGAGTAGCCCCGAGTGCGAGATCCCGAGAGACGACGTAAATGATAGACGTCAGTTTGTCACAAAGTCAAAAAGGACTTGAGTTGTAATAGAAGCTATTGTACAGAAATTGACAGACACATAGGGACATCTATCTACACCACTTCTAGAGAGGCCCATGGTGCTCAAGAAATAAGAGTCCAGTAGTTGTGGAAGCATTATGCAATGTTAAGAAGAAAAATTGTTTCAGGATCGAGTTGAAGATATAAATAAATGAAGAGACGGGAAAGAAGAGGGCTTAAACCATGGAGTAGGATTTTCTTTCTATATGTATTGTGGCATTTTTCTAAACCGAACTAACTAATACATATTCTGTCATACATATTTTGCAATTGGGATCAGGTCAAATGGAAACATGATAGTAAAATAACAGCTCAGGGGAAGAAAAAAAGAAGGAAACAAAAGTAGAGCTAAGCACAATTAGAGCACAACAACTTGAACAGGACATATTCTTTCATTCTTTCACTCCAAAAAGTAGCCTCGAGAACGGATCAAGGAACAATTGAGCAGAAAGCCAAGCATAAGCTAACGAGTGACAGGTCCGACAACTGCTGGAACCCTCGAGCAAAAGAAAAATAACAGGAAGCCGAAATGAGTGAAAGACAAAGCTAGGATTCATTGAATAGACCGGCAATCAATTTTGGGTGAAGCTTGCCTCAAAGTTCCAATGTTGGTTCTCAGCCCGGACGTTCTGGTTGGCCGCGGTTGTTCGATACCTAGATCGTGACTGGCGAGAACCACGCGAGGTACTCGGTCCTTGAGTACGCCTGGGGTAAGCGGGAGTTCTTGCAGGAGGCTGGGTGTTCGTTCGCGACGATCCACCACGCTGATAAGGAGCACCGCTCTGCCGTCGGTCAGATTCCCTACGGTGGTATGCGCGGGTGGGTGTGCCAGGCTCTTCAGGGCTGCTCCGCCGATGGCTGCGGCGGGGAGTTGGGGTCAGAGTAGCAGAAGACTCGACTGAAGGAGAGGTGCTCGCATTGGAACATGGTGTTTGGTTTGGCGATAGGAAATAATCGTCTTCCGGCTCTATGTACGTATCGTCTGCGTGCTTGTCCGCCTCGAGATTTGGCATAACCAAATGTGGAAAGAGGTTGCGGCGGTCCTTCTCGACTGCTGTGCATATGTTGCTGAGATATCTATAGCGCTGTCTGAATATCAAGTTAGTATCCATGGCTTGAAGAATCATGAACTGGAATAGTAGATAGCAACTTACCTCGCAGTATCAGCAGAATAGCGATCATCTCCTCTTTTCTTCACTAGCTTCTCGAATACGTGCTTTGAGAGGGTTCCTTCGTTCAAAGCTTGGATCATTCCTCTCAGTAGCATGCAATCTTCAATGTAATTCCACGAGATTGGAGACCGTCTATTTATTGATGGGGTGCGCGGGGGCGTCTCAGGTCTGTTCCTGGTTTGCCGTCTCGAAGAGTTTCGGGGCATAGTGATATGCAGGTGGCTTTACCACGAGAAGAGAGTGGGAGTTGAGAAAGGCTAACTAACGGTCAAGTCTTGGTGAAGTATGAAAACTGAACGGGTACGGATTGTGTCTTATAGGGTAGCCTGAGGAAAGCTTTTCAGCCCACACGATGTGGGAAGTCCTGGTAGTCTAAAGCACTTTTGCATTTTTTTTTTTTCAAGTTGATGTATAGACATCGACCTACTTGCTTTGAGTGGCTGGTAAAGACACAAGTTCTATGTCTGTCCCAGACTGCAGTCTGCTGTGCTCTGGCCAACTGGTGAGCAGGTTAAACGCAGGCACCGAGCAAAATCTGTGGGTGATATATCCGATATACCATGAATGGGTCTTCCTACTTGACGGCTGAGTCGGGAAGTGGGTCTTCAAGCAGGTACTCTGGACTGAAACATCCTTTTGAATGTGATCTGTATAGGTGGGGCTTACAGGACTCAAGCTGAGTGATATGTCAACAGTTGTATACTTACTGTACGGAGTATGCATAATTCTTCTGACTGACTGGAAGGCACAGTCGGCGGATTCGGATTCGAGAAGTTGAACCTCAACTGATCCGATAGACTAAGCACTGACAGTGTCAGGGTACAATACTTCCTAGATATGTGAGTAATCATATCAGCGGGCTCTTGACTACTAAGTACACCAGTAACCGCCGTAGGCGATCAGCTCGTTTGAACAAACTGACAGGCCGATGACTTTCGGACGCCATGGACCGGCTCGAGCCGCCTTCTGCAAAAATCCCAGCAGATCCTCAATTCGATCACTGCTTGGGATCGTTAAAACGCAGCCAATAAACTCCGACATGCATCTATTTTCTTACAGTACGCCATGTAGCAGTTACTCCCCGTATACGTAAGTACTACACCAAGCTGTCCTAGCAGGTGATAATGTATGCTAATGTATTCAGGCCCTAACTCGGCTATAGAGCGTTGAATCTGGGCCGCTTTCGACCGCGGCAAAAGTAGCGTCCGCCCGATCTCGGCCCGGCTTGCATGACAGAACCTTGTTCGAGGTTATTCTACTCTCATCTTCGTTTTACGGTTATGCCTCCAGTCTTCGAGCCAATGCCCCTTAACGAGCCAGCAGCTGCTTCGGTCAGAGAGTCAGGAAGCAAGCGACTCGGCGCGAAGCAACCCGTGAGTGGAACTCCACAACTTTCTGCCGACCACCCCGGCCTTCACAATACATCGCACACACAATCCCTGTTCCAACATCGGCTTGGGCGGCTCCAAGCTAAATTCTTGCGCCGAATCAATCCCCTCCAGGACAAGGGTACTCCATCTGGCCCTGGAGTTGCTGGCTAGCCACCTTTTTCTTTCCCGCCTAGCTTATCAGACGATGTGCTTCCCCGCGCTCCATTGGATCTATCAACTTCATCTGCGTATTTTTAGCGTGCAACCACAAATCCTACACTGTGTATTTCGTACCCTGGTATGGTGTATTGTACAAGTTATATTCGCACTCGATCTATCCAATACCTCCCTCAATTCCAGAGATCGAACTCGAATTGTGCAGATTAACTACGCCTACAGTTTACATTCTTCCCCCTCCTCTTCGCTGCTTAATCCCTGTCTATAGCTTCACCGCCAGGAGATCGAAGTGATCGGACTTTGCGTTGGGGACTGTTTCCAATGCCGCGGGAGGTTTGGTGTTTCAGCATCCCCAAATCTCGACACAGGAGGCTAGCGCATGCTGCATTTACGGACTCACGGAGGGGATCGTGACTGAGATGCTTGGTTGCCTTGATGAAAACTTCCGATCCCAGGGAGAACCAGAGACTACACCGGCCGTATCCTTAGTAATAATTTTGTCACTTGAAACCGGTGCCCTAGTAGGTCTTTGGCTGGATCTAGACTGTAGCTGAATTTTCCGTTTTATTATATCACTTAACTTTGTTCTGCTGTGGTTCCAGCCAGGTCGGTGGCCCACAATCATGACTTTACGGGTCGTTGCCATGGAGAGGCTGCAAGAGTCCGTATACTGTGGACATGGGTTGCGTGCTGATGCTTCGTAATTCAGGACATCTAAGACTACCTTCTTAGTGTACTCTCCTACGCCGAGATTTTTGTCATGTCCCAATGGTTGCCCCATGCTCTATGAAGATATCCTGTAGAAGACCCAGATAAGGCGTATTCCCTGACTTCTCCGCCAAGTCCAACTCGTCGAAAGCCTCTCAGCTAGTCACACCAGGGCCCAGTGCTCCAACTCCCCTGCTTCTTATCGGAATGGCTGCTATTGACCTTGAAAGGCGGCCAGTAAAAATACTTTGCAGCGTATAGTGAGCTGGTAAACCCTCTACAGCTCCCCTTTCCGACAGCGCGGCAGGAAAAGCATTCTTAATGTCCAAATATGCCTGAAAGTTGTGGCGAGCGCTCTAATGTAGCTGGAGAACTAGCCAGTTCGCTCGTTGCAGTATGTCAAGATTAGTCCGTGCTCCCCAGATTAATGGCGGAGGTACTGACCCATCCTTCGAATAGAAACCTATAATCTCATGGACGTACTCTGCTGTATTAACTGAGGGACTGATATACTTCGACAGTAGTATCACCTATCCAGTATGACTGGTTGGCTGTTGAATGCATTCTGAACGTCTTTCTCAGTCTCGCGGCACAGATTATTTAAGCCCCTACTTGATGAATAAGTAGTCTAGCTAACTATGCTTTTCGTGGAGTGACACAGCGAAGGCGATCCCACACCCGCTATCAAGATAAGTCACCACTATCAATGTTACCTCAGTCCCATACTGGCCATCTCGACGTTCATGGTTGACTGTCACTCCCCGTATCCTCTATATGCTTCCAGTTGCAAAAGCCAAAAGCAATGGGTACCCGACTTGACCCCATCGGGTACGTCACCATTAGTGACTGTCCACAACACACGCAAGACCAACAACAACAACCCCATCACCTTCCTGAACTGGTCTATTCCGAAGAGCCGAATGCAGATGTCCAGGCGATCTAATCGAAATCCCGGCTACCGGCATGAATGAAACCTTGTTCGAGCTGCCGCGTGTTCCGTTCATCCAAGGTCACCGCCACACCGTCCGAGCAACAGAGGGTCCGATCAGTCAAACGACCAACCACCAGCTGAAAATTATGAGTGAACCCTGAACGAGGCAATTTCAAATCGGTGCTCGGTATGTTGTATTTCTTCTAACCGAGGCAATTGTGCTTGGTTCCTTTGTTTACCTCTGCTGCCTGTTGTCACTTGCCCGCCCGATTGCTGGAGAATTATCTCCAGATACCCAGGTATAGAGACATGATGAAAGTGGCGTCAGCATGATCACAGTCACACGAACAGCCTTCCTCTTCCCCTTTCGCGTCTACTGCACCCCGCGCGTAAGATCTCTAGCTTATAAGCTCCCCCGGATCCTCGCCCCAGGATCCTTCTCCCCACCAACACCAGCATCAGAATCCTTCTCTCCACTCTACTCCCCTTACCCCAAACATAAGCACAATGACCCACTCAACCACCCCAGTCGACGTCCCTCGCGACGCCCAGCGCGTCTTCGAAGTGATCAAAAATCAAGGCATTGCCCTCATCCCCGGCAGCATCGGCTACGGCCTGGTGGCCAGCGACCCAGCAGCCCTGGACCGCCTCTTCACAACGAAGCGCCGCAAACCACACAAGAAGCACGCCATGATCGGAAGCTACGCGCTCCATCAAGAAATTCACATCCTCCCGGCCCGCGAAGAGTCCATGGTTCGGACCTTAACCGTGGATCTAGATGTGCCCGTCGGCGTCGCGGCCCCGTTTCGGCCCGACCACCCAATCATCCAGAAACTTGGCCCTGAGTTGCTCTCACGCTGCACGCACGACGGCACCCTTTCCATGCTAGTCAATGGAGGACCCTTCCAGGAGGAACTCATTCGGTTGTGTCATGCAGCGGGATTACCACTGCTCGGTTCGTCGGCCAATATCTCAGGGTCGGGGATGAAGGTCCGCATTGAGGATATTGAGCCCGAGATAGTGGAGGCCGCGGATATCGTGATCGATTATGGGAAGCGCACGTTTAGTGTGCCGCGGGCGTCATCGACAATTATCAACTTCCGGGATATGAAGCTCGTGCGGTATGGCGCTTGCTATGATGTGATTCAGGACGTATTGAAGAAGTTCTATGGTGTCGAGCTGCCGGAAGATCCGGGCAAGGAGGAGTTATTTTCGGGACATGTTGATGTTCAGCAGGCGACTGTGTATTGAGAACGCACTTCCTTTACTATACTATGCTCTATATACCGAGTGTATACATGAACAAACCTACACCCGTAACCTTATAAGACATCCTAATCATACCGATAACAGTAGTCCCCCCCAAACACATCCATAACCTCCTCCACCCTCCTCGGCTCATCCAACACCCCAAATTCCATCACCGTATCCAGTGTCACCACCGGCGCCCCAGGCGGGTCATGCACGACCGTCGTCCCATTCACAGCCCCTTTCCTCTCCTCCCAATCCCCCCACTGCCACAACGTCCACACTCTATCCACCATAGCATGATGCAAAAAGAACACAGGGTCCTGCGCCGACGCAAAAGTGTCCAACATATTCGCCCCCACACTCGCATGCCCGCCCTCATGAGCCCCCGCATACCCATTCGCACTTGGACTCATCAGCTCTAAGAACTCCTGGAGATCGGCGGCCGCAATCATGTCGTCCACTTTGTCCTGGGTGTTCAGGGCAGCCAGCCAGTCCGTCGTGAAGTTCCGAGTGAGACAGCGTGGGTTGTAGGCAAAAGCGTTGGCGGGGAGGTCGCCGTAGGGGATTACTTGCGAGAGGGAGAAGGGGCCGAGGTGCATGACCCAGGTCGAGAGTGGGCCGGTGGTTACGCAGCCGCCACCGGTGCCGGGCGATGGGCAGGGAGAGATGTTTAAGGGGCATAGGGTGGAAGTGTTGTTCTGGGGTGAGCCGTTGCCAGAGAGGGAGGTGGGGGATCCATCAAAGAGGGGGGTGGCGGTTAGGTTGGTGGTTAGGGGCCAGTTCCAGTATCTGGAGGGATGATTAGGGAGTTAAGAGGGAAAATTGGTTGGGGAGGGATGGGGAGAGAGCTTACGGAACACTTCCTTGGTAGTTGCATTCGTCTTGGAGGGCTTTTTCGTAGAGGTGGAGGAAGTGTCGGTGCCAAGGGAGGAGGAGGCCGTCGTTGTGGATGTGCAGGGTGTAGTTGATGTGCGTGCTGGATGTTCGTTAGATGAGGGCTAGGCTAGAATAGGTGGTGGGGGTTGTACACTTACGCTACGAAGTCATCGTGGCGGTCTCGTACACCTGGGTATTGGTCGTTGGGGAGGAGTGCTGGACGCCCTCGTAGGCACCAGACTGCGTCGATATAGTCGGTTCTTTCTTGAGTGGTCAAGTCACCCCTGGTGATGTTAGCTTTGAGGTGGGAGGAAGGGTGTAGGACGCGATGTACCAGTCTTTGCGGCTGCTGGCCTGTGAAGGACGGCATTGATCGGTTGCAGTTGAGGCCACCAGGACCGGGAGAAGAAGTACAGAATACCATGCACGCATTGTATTCTACTTAAATTATAAAGCATCACTTGGTGTTGGAGTCAAGGATTATGGGAATCTCCCCGAAGGGTACTATAGCATCACTTATATACCCATGGCAGAAGTCTGTAAGCCAGATCCTTCGGCTTTTGATAAGATGTCCCCATCCATATGAGAATCTGTGGATACCGCACGCAGTCCCTGGTATTGGCGCAGCCGAGCCGCCAATCGGTTCGCCTCCTGGTCAGATCATCAGGGACGGTGCCTGTACTGGAATGCTGAGCACAGGATGAATCGGGCATGACGTTTCCTTGTAATCACAATGTGCCACATTTCTTTGGCGTACTCCAGACTGAACAGCCGATGGTTCAGTTACCGAAAATAGATCTAACACTAGATAAACTTGCTTTGGCGCATCATGGCATGCTCGAAGTCTGTTGCTTTGACCAGAATAAGTTCGAATATAAGGTGCCATGGTATCTTGGCAAGATGCCGCTAAACTAACTTGAAGACACTATCGAATTCTTCTGCTCTTGTTTAAGCCTTGATTGCGGTTCAGCTGATGTATGCATGAAGTATAGAAAAGCCACTGCGTCAATGCTTTATGCATCTTAGGTATGGCTCTACATGGGTAGCATGTGGCAGCTTGCCGCATAAGCTCTCGAGATTCTCACGAATGGTAGAAAGCTATCTCCTACTGTCACATATATGGAGTCTTCAAGACCATACGTACAACAGTAAGAAATGAACCATCAAGACCATAGCTGTAGCCAGATGTTGTTAACAGCCATGAGTGCTAGCTTTTTTCTGGAACATCGTATCAGGTTAATAGTGATGGCTCGTAAATGTCCAGCTTGGGGGCATTCCTCAACGGCACTTTGGGTCTAACAACCCCTTCGACTATATCAGCATACAACCAACTGATTACTCGAGCATAATATACGATCGCGAACTCTGAGGCGCCGCTAAACCCCACCAGGGCAACGTGGGCAACAGGGGCATCAGGTAAAGGACATTACGTGGTAGCGTTGAATTGTGTATAGATTCTCACCTCCAGTCCTATTGAGAGCCCCTTGAAGGGCGGAATGTCCGCTACGCTGTTTTTCATAAGAGGGGCACCCCTTGCATCAAGGTTCACGCTGCAAGGGCGCGGATCTCTCCATCCACAACTACTCATCTCCCCTCAACAACACGCTAGGATCGCGGTTGAAGCAAGGGGCTATCCGGGAACAACACAGCGATAGTTCGTGTCCGATATCTGCGCCTAATTAGCTTCGACAATGTGGCTATGGCGCCTTTACTTTCTATTCATGCCTCGTGGTATGCTTTGGCTCTCCAATGTAATCTTTGGGGCGGTTCAAAAATAGCAGGAACTTGCGGGTGTTCGGGTAAGTTGATGAGCCTATGAACAACGGATAGGACCCTCTGGTTGATGTGGTGAAGGCCCTTCCAACAAATCTTAGATGACAGAGAATTGAGATAAGTTTACACTTGGTTTTACTTCACGAAGACATATATAGAAAAAAAAAAAAGCCTAAGTGGCCTATCTGCCTACAGCACATCCTCAGCACTAGCCACCCATACACGATAAGCTACCTCTGTATTGGATGGAACTGAAGCGATAGGAAGAACCGACGTCATACCCAAAGATAGCGCTATCTTCATTTAATGCGACTAACCCGCCAAATCCAAGATTCCATTGCGCGACGACCATGCGACCGTTCAATGGCAATCACTCCACACCCTCAAAAAACCTCCTCCCAAGCAATGAAGAAACAGCCAATCCATACCCCAGTCACCCAACGTCTTATTACACCTAGTCAGCATCGCTGTTTGTCTGCCGAGTGGTGATATGAATGGCGTGACTTGACAGTCCGTGCCACCATCCCGGCACGGAGGATAAAAGCCCGCGGGAGGAACAGGGCTGATGATTAGGGCCCGAATCTACCCCTCACTATCACTCCTCTTTTCTAATCATTTTTCAACCTTCTCATTGTAAATCCATTACAATCATCGATACCATGTCATACCCCTTCGAAGCCATCGGTATCATCTCCATCGGGGAGATGGGTCTGGGCATAGCCCAGCTCCTGATCGCCCATCATTACCGAGTCCTGACCTATGCGGCCGATCGGAGGTACTATAATCAGTATTCCCCCTCCAAATTGACATCGCAGCTAACCGCAATTCCCCACAGCGAAGCCACCCAACGCCGAGCATGGGAAGCAGGCATTGAGCTCCGTCCCTCGATGCAAGACCTGGTCGACCAGAGCGACTGCCTCCTCTCCATCGTTCCACCACGGGACGCACTCGCAACCGCCCGGCGCATCGTGGAAGCATCGTCCGCGCGGCCCTCGGTCCGCGATACCCCGCTATGGGTGATTGATCTGAATGCCGTGTCGCCAAAGACAGCGCGCGAGATAGAAGCACTCATTACTGAAGCAAGTGGGACATCATCATCATCTTACCTCCGGTACATCGACGGAGGCATCGTGGGTGGCCCACCGCGGCCATTGCAGCCAACCAACCCCAACGAACCAGCTTGGCATTGTCCCAGCTTGATAGTCTCCGGTCCCGGTAAACTCCCAGACGAGAAGTTATCTCGCACACTGAATATCAAACATATCTCGGACCGGATTGGTGTAGCGACCGGGTTGAAGATGTGCTTTGCTTCTCTGACGAAGGGGTTTTTCGCGTTGGCTATTCAGTCGTTTACTACGGCGCATTCGATGGGTGTGCTTCCGCAGCTGCAAGAATTGATGGAGGAGTATAATGCGGCGACGCTGCGGATAGCGGAGAAGGGGGTGGTAGGGATGCCGCCGAAGGCGTATCGGTGGGTGAGGGAGATGAAGGAAATCGGAGATACGATGAGGGATGACGGGGGGTTTGAAAGTGATTTGTATGGGTGATCCAAATACCTCCTGTATAGTCATGGTAATTATGATGCTGACGGGCCAACTTCTGTGTTTTAGGTTCTACGCCGTGGCTCAGGTGTATCAAACCGTCGCGGATGATCCTATCCTGGGGCAAGAGAAGCCGGATGATCGACAGCGGGGGAAGACGGTCGAGGACGTGGTGGAGTGTTTGGATAAGAGCTTGAAGGTGAAGAAGGATTGATTGACTCCATCGACGAATTATATGTATGTATGTATGTATGTATGCATTCTATTGCTTCTTTTGAATATATCATATCCATACTATGGATATCATGCGTTCATAGCTTGACTGGGTGGGTACCTCTCACTTTCAATCCCAGTGATAACCTGAATTGTGTGATATCTTCCGAATACAGGACTTTTCCTAGCCTATGGCGTAGTACAACTCACCGCCGCTACAGCAACGACATCCACAGAGAATGGATTGACTAACCATCCAGGTCGATCAATTCGCCCCCGCACTTGCTAACCCGTGCATACTACTGCGATTCAACCATAGTGTGGATCTTTCAGGTCCACTCTGGAGAAGTGACCTGCAGCTCTAAGTGTCTTTTACCGATTGACTGTCTCCAACGGGATGCTTTGCAGCTGCACGTTCCCACTTGACCTATCGGTATGGCTCCAGTCCGTTGATCGACACAGAGAGAGGGGTAAAAGACAGAAAAAAAAAAGAAATAAAAACAGGAATAGAAGGCGTGAAGCAAGTGTGACATCCACATGGCAGCAAGTAGACTCTCTCCACTTGCCTGACTAGGGTGGGTGTGGCTTTGAGGAATTGTCTGCGGGTTCAGTCCACATTGTGTGCTGGGAAATGCCTGAGGCTAGGGGAATATTGTGGGGGTGGTGATAGTAACTGCCTTAGGCTACGTGTATAAGTTGAAAGTCTGGAAAAGTGCTAGGAAGAGCCCAGGAAGATGGACCTATTAAAGTTGTATGGAAAATGTAATATGAAGGCACAAGTGTTTAAAATTCTGTCACGCAAGGATGCCCGATGGCATCCTGTTTTGCACTGGTATCACTAAAACTAAGTAACAGAAGAGTAAAAAAAGCAAGGGGGGAATAATAACGATTAGAACTCCCTAGACCGTGGTTTCAGAGAGAGCCGGCTATGCTCTAAAATCGCGTAGCAGGTATCAAAAAGCGTGTAAATGCTTCCAAACATTTTATATTCATGACCATGCAAAAGATCCCATGCTTCACCCTTACTCCGACTCGCGGGCGGAGTTGGAGCCCGAGACCTCGGCGGTGGTAACCTTCTCCTCGTCGCTGGCACCTCCGAAGCCGTACTCGATGGCCTTCTGCTCGACTTCGTCGTCGGTGAGCTTGGGCAGCTCGTGGGCAGCGCGCACGTAGCTGACGTTCTCGGTGTAACCCTTGGCGAAGATGATATCGATCTCCTCCAGAGAGCGGTTGGCGGTCTCGGGGTAGAAGAACCAGATGAAGGGGATGAACAGACCGTTCAAGACGGCGAAGAACAAGTAGGTACCCCAGCCAATGTGGGAGACCATGACGGGGGTGATCATGACAATCAGGAAGTTGAAGAGCCAGTTGCTGCAGGTCGAGACAGCGTTGGCCTTGGCACGAGTCTTGATGGGGGACAGCTCAGCAGGGTACAACCAGGGCAGAGGCAACCAAGCGGCACCGAAAGCGGCCATGTAGAGGAACAGACCGAAGACAGCACCCTTGGCAGTCTCCTGGTCACCAGGGATCAAACAGGCAAAGGTGATAACCATGGCAATGCACTGAAGGAAGGATCCACCCAGGAAGAGCTTGCGACGACCGATCTTCTCAATGAAGAACCAGGAGAAGGTGGCAAAAATGGCATAGACAATCATGTTGACACCACCAATGACCAGGGAGAAGTTCTCAGTCTCGTGAAGGGAATCCTCGAGCAACACAGGCAGGTAGTAGATGACAGCGTTGCAACCACCGAGCTGCTGGAAAATCTGCGAGGAGGAACCGATGACCATACGACGGAAGTGTTGGGAGCGGCCACCAGTGAGAAGGTCACGATATCCGACGTCCTTGCCAGCGGCGTTCGAACTGGAGCTGAGTGTTAGCGACTTGTGCCACGCGTCATCCACCTTTTTTTTTTTTTTTTTTTTTTTTTTCCTTGGCAAACTTACGCTCTGATGGAGTCAACGACCAGCTGCTTCTGGAGCTGGGTCTCGTGGTCGTGGATCTCCCAACCACCCAGGGCGGCAAGCACGTACTCACCCTCCTGGACGCGGTCCTTGGAGATGAGGTAACGGGGGGAGTCGGGAAGGAACCACATGCCGACGATGATGATGAGACCGAAGAAGATCTGGAAAGCAATGGGGAAACGCCACACCAGGTCCTTGTTACCGAAGTGGGCACCGTAGTCAATCCAGTAGGCAATCGCAGTACCGATGGCAATGATACCACCCTCGATACAGATGAGCAGACCACGGTTGCTAGTCTTGGAGCACTCGGCCTGGTAGGTCGGGATAGTGGAAGTGTTCATGCCGTTACCGATACCGGTGATGACACGACCAATGAAGAACTGCAGAAGAGGAATGTGACCGGCATACGAGGTGACCTGAATGACGACACCGATAATCATGACAATGGCACCGGAGAAGATCATCCATTTACGTCCAGTCTTGTCACCGAAGAAGAGCGCGAACATAGCGCCCACCAGACAACCTATGCGACGAGGCGCGTTAGAATGGGAGTTCCGCGATTGTAATTCGTTAGGGAGATTTGCGACTAACCTAATTCATAAACGGATGTAACCAAGGCCTGCATGGTAGAGTTGTTCTTGGTGGCAGTGAAGAGGTCTTCGAACGCGGTATCACTGATAATACCGGACATGACACCCTCTAGAGGTATGAGATTAGCATGTGAACGGGATGGCTAGATCGGGGATAGCCGGCGAGGGAGACTCACGATCATAACCGAACAGCAAGAAACCCATCGTCGCAATTGTCGAGATGGCCAGGGACAGTTTCCTGCCCGACAGGCCAGCGTAGGTCGGCGCCATTGTGAAGTGATGCTATGCGAAAGAAGAATTGTTGTTGTCGAGATGTATGACCAATGGATGAGGACAATGGTCAATGAATCTGGGGAGCGATCGAACACTTAAGTTGACTCGCTCACTTCTCCTAAAGAGGACTCCTGTCGCGTTGCTCCTTTTGTTTGATGTCTTGGTCGAAAGGAGGAGGAGTTGTGATGTGACACAAGAAAGAGAAGAAAAAAATATAAACAGGACTGGAGCCAACGCGGAGAAGACGGGGGGAAGAAGGGGGGTTATCTACTTTCTCGAAGACGACAGGCCTGTCGGTTGTGGCAAGCATGCATGTTGGCCGACAATCTCTTATCCCCCGAACTGAACTAAAACTAACTAACTGGAGAGGAGGAGGAGGAGGAGAAGGAGGAGGAGGGAGAGCTCCACCAAGCTACGCAGACCCATATTGAGCCGTACCATTGTTTGTTTTGTGGAGCAGGGGACCGGATGCATCAATAACGCTGGGTTAAGCATCTTTTTTGGCGCAGTCCCGTGGCCCACTTGTGGATGCGCTGGAAATGCAGTGAGCAATGACATCACGCAGCCCGGTCTTGGTGCCTTTTCCCCCTTGGGTAATCTAAAAAGGATATTTAATAAGAAAAATTCAATATTTTGTTTTATTTATTAAACCAGCGGAAAAAGAAAAGCAAAAAATCGAAAAGAAAAATCCAAAGCAGTAAAATTCGGGAAAAAAGAAAGGTTCGAACACAGCGAAAAAAGGGGGAACCATACATACTGGTCTCATTTATCCACGGATTGTACACAGATACTTAGTCTAACATTCGGGTCGGCACCTGTATCTTCTTATTGGCCATTCAGTCCTTTGAGTAAGTTAAGTACTACAATGTACAAAGTACAGCACAGGTCAGATTCTCTCATTCTCCTATTCTACCACCAAGGTGACAGAAAATCTTTTTCCACTCCATTCAATATCCATCCCTCCCTTCTGGGCTGACGGATGGCTTCACACCATCTTCTCCTCCACCACCATCCACTATCATCATCATCATCATCATCATCATCATCAACCAACTAAGTACCACCAACCCGAGGACACCGTGCGGCTCCACTTTTCCATGATCCTGCCCTGAAAAAGCCGCCAGCCTATGAGAGCGGACGTGCGCGCACGCCCTGGCCAATCGTTGCCGCGCCCGTCCATCGTTGCGGGAACCTGAGCCCAAACGTGGAGCTGACCGCGCAGGGCTGACCTGCCTATTTGGTAACCCTCGTTGTCCGAAGGTAGCAACTTAAGCGAGGGAAGGAAAGGCATCGCCAAAATCCCACGGGGAAGTTCGCCTAACTCTCAGTGAGTTAGTTAGTTAAGCTAGATTGGATGTTGGCTGAATAATCTTCGCCCATCGTATTATGTGTACGTGCTTTGCACTGTAGCCGGGCTGAATGCGGGCGCCATTGTGCGTTCAGCATTTCAGCCGCCAAATGTCCACCCATCTTTAACCGCATCCCCCGTCATTCAAGGGTCAATCATATGGGGCCGTTCACCACCTTCTTTTTTTTTCCAGCATGAAACCGCGGCATATTCTCATACCGTAGCGAACTTACCTACCCTCTTGCCCTTCTGCCGTCCCGAATTCTCGCGTCACGAAAAGCAGACGGCTTGAATGCAACGAGATTCGGCCGTCGTTCGGGAAGCCGTTTCCGTTGGGTTTCCCGACCGCGCCTAGCGTCCTTCATCCTGCAAGGCGAGACACCTCATGCGCCAATGGAAAGATGAAGTTAATAATGATATCTACAACAGTATGAATAAGCTCTGGCCCAAAGAGGTTTAACCTGGAGGGGAATGGTAGGGTAAAGGCTCCTCCTTCATGGTGATTTAGGAGGGAGGCTTTGCATGGTGATTCGACGCCATCCTCCACCGTCGGCTGGGAGGCTCCACCCCGCACCGTCTCTGGCCGCGACGGTGTCTCCAGCTCCCCAATTTTTCCCTTTCTCTCTCTCTTCTCCCCCACCTCCTACTAAGTGAACTAGTCTATACTATGGGCTAATATCACCCTCTCTCTCCGCGTCTCCATCTCCATCTCCATCATCTCTCTGATTTTGGCCCGAATGGAACTAGTGTCCCGAGGGTGAGAGAAGGATGTAACCGCTACAGCATTTTCTTTTCTTTTCTTTTTTTCTTTTTTTTTCCTTTTTCCCCTCTTGTTGATTTACCCTTTTCGGCAAGTGATTCTCTCTCCTCCTTCCATTTCCGATTGTCAGCGACATCTGCCAATTGCTAGCATTCCATGCCTTTATCCAATGATTCTCAAATTCGCATCTCCACCGAATGCCGGAAAAAGACTTAGATCAAACTGTCCGCTGGCCCGTCCTAGCACCTTCCCTCCGACAACACGCGCAGAGCAACATGATTAGCCGTGGCTCACTGCATGAGAATTTAAAAAACATCGATCCATCCTTCGTTTTTTTTTTATATTTCCCCATGAGACAAGCCAAGAGCAGGCAGCGGAATTTCGTAGCGACAGATGTGGAAAAGTAATATTACTATTATCTCTCCTAACAGACAGACATCCTGCAAGGTGAGCTGCGAGCCTGCGACATAGTCGCACCTCATGGTCTCCACCGGTGCTAATTGGATCTAAGATATCACTCTTCCCATTTTTCTCTCTCCCAATAATGCAAACTCTGACACTTGACAGTCCTGTAGTCCCGTAAGGAAATTATGCGCCCGGATCTGCCATCGTCTTTCCTTCCCATGGTCGCGCAGCTGAACGTGCCTGTCAGAGATCTCGTGGCGAATCCTTCCACCCCTCCCATCCCCATCATTGCCCCCCTCTCTTCACCCCCCCGGAAAACCCTGCGTGAAGTCCCCCATCTTTTGCCGGGCCAACTACGTCAATGGCGTTCCGGTATACCCGCACTGACCGCGAAAACTCGGCGCCAAGGCGACAAGCCAGAGAAGAAATACCGAAGCTCATCGTATTTCGCCTTGGTATAGGAACAAGAGTCGACCAAGAATCGACAAGTCTTTCTCGGCAAAAAACGGGGTGGGGGCTCTGGCGCAAAGGGAAAAAAGCATGTGGGGGGAAACAGAGAGGCGGACCCGGTTTTTCGAGGAGATCGAGTGGATGCGGTCGGGGGGGCTAAAACATCGCGCGCCGACCGAAAATCGTCATCTTCCCTCGGCCCTCCGCCTTTCCATTGGCTCCCTCCCAACTCGGTTGACTGTTCCTGTGTCGGAACCAAACCCAAGATTGGCTCATTCGAGGATAGCAACAATCTGACTTTTCTGGGTCCTCCCCTCCTCCTCCTCCTCCTCCTCCTCCTCTCTCTCTCCAGAACGGAAAAAAGTAGGTCTCCATCACGCACATGGCCCCATTCCTTTCGGATGCTCGTAGGGGAAATTAATTTCACCGACCAAGAGACAGACTGCATGAATCTAGCTACCTAGACTAGAGTCTAGCCTAGAGAGACATGAGTGTTTTTCGCCGACTCGCGCATTTTTTTTCCGGAACACGGCGGATTCCCGGATATCGAATCATCGGCACGGAATCGACCACCCAAGGGTCCACCTAAGCAGTCAAACTGCGTGGAAGCTGTTGCTCGGGTCGAATAATGACGATGATAATTTTCCTTGCGCCGGCGCGAACAGACCAACCGGGTAAAAGAAACGACCTGGAAAACTAAGTAGAGTAACACCACTCAGGAGTGAGTTCGCAGCCGACTAAGCGACCGGCACATGCTGTTTGCTGGATAGTTCATGATGGTGATGATGGAGACCATGACGCTGCATCATCATGCGGTTTAGTCACTGCTTTGTCCGAGCGTATCTGCTGCCTAAACAGCGGCGAACGACGCTTTTCCAGGAGGCACTAGTCAAATGAGTCTCTGCGGGCTAAACCGCCGATGATGATGACATCGAAGCGACTGTCAGTCAGTGCTGTATCAGCTGTCTACCTATTGTGGAAAAATAAGAGCTTTAGCATTAGCTGCAGGCATCAACGCCGTAGTGCCTACCTCCAAGTGAACGGGGAAAACACGAGGATTTCTCGGGTTGGCTGGTTCATGCCCATCCCTCCGAGTGGGTGCATTTGTCGCAGTTCTACTAAGATACGCACACGCATACAGCGCCGAACGGAAAGTCGCCGTCCAATATTGGGCGAACAATTTTCCTGGGAAATACTCGGGTCCTAGCCGACCACGTTTTTCCTTTTTCTTTTTTCCTGTTCCCTTTGTGGAAATCGAAGAAAAAATAAAATCAGGCTGAAAACATCTCGACGCAGACGGCCCGATTGTTGAGACCGGATGTGTTGATGGTCGGCCTTGGCTCTCTCAACGCAAGTCGGGAAGTTCGACGGAAACCTTGACGCTTCAGGAAGATGGCCCGCCCGAAGGTGCGGAAAGGAAAAATTAAATTCGTTGCTTTGGGTCGGTTTTGTTTGTGTTGCGAAACAACCGTTCCCGCCATTCACTCGTATCACGTAAGAAGTCATCGTCTTGGTGGTCTGAGAAAAGGTCGGCCTGAGGTTATTGGAGGGGCACAAGTGGACATTGGCACATTGGTCGAGTTGTTGACTGAGTTTTTCGGTTCAGTAGAAGGTAAGGAGAAAGAGAGCAGAATTTGCTCTTCCATTCCTTCACCCAAGACCAAGTTCACACACCGAAGGCTTGTCTTGAAGATATTTTGCTGTTGTGTCACCGGTGCAGCCTTGTGCCTGTTAGTCATCAATCATCCGTGTAGCGAGCCGAGCTTGGCACTTTGCGAGAAGTTATGGACCAAGCAGTCAATTGTGAATCGAACAGAGAAAGACATAACTGCAGCAATAAATTTTGAAGGGGAAAGCCCCAAGGATTTATACTGCGCTCTAGCTCCCAGCTTTCAGTCAGGGAAAAAAGGGGGAATCGGGAGGCCGATGCTTCTTATACACAACAGCGGACTCGGCACGCCGGTGCCGAGTGTCAGAAAAGGCCATCTCGGTCTGGATGCCGGAGGTCTCGGAGGGTCGAGTCACGAGGACAGCCACAAAAGGAAGAGAACTAGATAGAAAGGATGGAAGCGAAGAGGAGACTTGACTGCCAATAATAGCTATTCCGGGAGGGGGGTTCTAACTGCGTCTGGCTTCACCTGGGATCAAAACAGGGCATGGGCGCGATCCCATTGTTGTTGTAGTAGAAGCGCGAAAAGGTACGCATGACAGCTACGACGGTTCTAGAACGCCCTCTGAGCTTACAGAGCTGGTCGGTAGATAGGCGTCAAGCCAGGAAGAGCCTAGGCGATTGTCAACTGGTGTGGGCAGGTCGGTGGTGTGATTTGGTATATATGAATGTATGTGTTGTTGGTACTTTGTCTTTTCTTTTTACTTACTATCTACTGGTGAATAATAACATTTGCTGTTGATTGGCGTAGGTTGTAGTTAGAAACTCCGTATTTCCGGAATAAATCCAGAGCCACTGGCAACGTTGTCTGGACACACGAGAGGCACAGCTTTTCTCATTTGCTGGACTACCCACGTGTAGACGTTGATTGGGACCACCTTGATTGTTGGTTACATAACCATGCACAGGCACTACATAACTGAAGTACTTTGTACACTTAATAACTATAATTCATCCGACCTTGCTGACTGTGCAGATGAAATCCTCCGTGCAGTTTGATGTTTGTTTGCAAGAACTCGGCATTGTTTCTCTGATTGAACCATAACAAAATAATTATAAAAAAGGACTTCAGAACTCAATCTATAATTAACACTAATATGATAAGTATTAACTCCTCCCTGTCTTTCGCTTTCATCTTCCAGTGCATTCCTGGACTGTTCGAAGACCCGATCGGTAGGTGACACTGCATTCATCCGGGAGACCTGAATGCATGCAGCCACAGGGCAAGACACGGACAGAGTCTTCACACCATCATTGGCATCCACCCCCCCTAAATTATTGCAGGGCTCACTCGATGTCTTGTGTTACCTCCCACCCGTCTCTTGACTCCTTGCTTACTTGGGATAATGAGCGACCTCACTTCGACCAATCTTGGGATTGCAAATACGTATCAGACATCCAGCAGGAGGTATGTATAGTTGCCTCAATAACCTATCCTTCGCAAGGAGTTCAAGAACACAACTAGTAACATAATCCCGCGGCGTAACACCCCTGGAATGCCAGGCTAGAATCACGCCACAACACAACATTCCAGCCAGCCACAGTATTCGATAGATGGACGGATTTTCGCTGTCTCCAGTAAGTAGTAGTACCAATAAATAAATAACTTAATTATTGGAATGCCGCTACTCTCCTGTCGAACCTTATCTGAGATTCAGTCGGCTGGTCGGGTCCGTTCTGTGCTCCTTGCTTGGGTGGTACTGAGCTTTGGGTGTGACTACTAGTACTAGTACTAGAAGCGGAATATGATTGTTCTGTTCGGTAGATAGTCATGTTAATAGTTACAACGGAAGTTAACTACTGCATGGGGAACTTACTGTAACTATCTATAGATTTTTTCCCTAGTGTCTAACTCTTTTTGAGACTATCTAACCAGTAGAGTATTGCTTATTGTCTGTCAAGTTCAGGGGCAAGTATCAAATGTATCCATCTCTTCGGGACCAGTCAACTAGTGTGGCGTGGGGAGAAAAAAGCAAGCACGTTTGTTCTCAACAGTTCGTATCCAGCTCCGATCACGCAGCGTATTTTAGGCAATGTAGGCAGCCGTTCGTGTTGCCATCGTATTTGCTGATCGTCGAGCCACTGCAACCCTGGTGGGATGGTTGGGTCTGGCCGGCCTCGATAATACTATGTTTGCATCGTTCGGCAATTATGTGGCTTGCAAGAATTCAACTGGCTAGTGCATATGTAAATAGTACGTTTGATGAGATATGCCATCGGCCGAGAGCAGGGCCTGGACTACTGGTATGGATTGACAGTAATTAAATCTTCGAAATGACTATTGAATTATTTGGGGGCGCATCGTGCATAATGGAGGTTGTTGGTGAGGATATACTACTAGTACATACTACTTGGGACTACTATATATATACAGCTAGTATTATACTTATACGCGGACGATGATCACCAGCTACTACTGTTTACCACATGAATAGGAATGAATAGTATTATTACTATGGACGAAGTTCTTCCGAGACACTTTATTACTTCAGTTCGATTATGATCGATGAATTCAAAAGTTGCCTACATATAATGGAATTGTGCTTATTCCCTCCTCCTCCCCCCCCCCCCCCCCCTCTCTCTTTTGGTCTGACCTCAGACGATCCCATCGCGTGTTTCACGTGTTGTTTCGATCGACCAGCTGCAGGCTTACCTGCAGACTTCGCTTAAGTTCTTCGTACTGACGAATTGCTGGGGATTCGACTCTTCTCCCACGACAGCATACTTGAATCGCAACTCCGCGAAATTGAACTGCATGAGACCCTAGAGATAGGTATTTACTTGTCGGGATGCCGAACCACCGCACTGACAGGAAACGAACTCCAGCGCCTCAGGCACCGACCACACAGAATAACCCTTAGACTGACGTCGCAACTGTCACAAAAAGCGCCCGTCCTTCGCCACGCTTGTCGCGCCCGACGATCGTCGCTCACGCAGGGAAAAAGCTAGACTACCTTCCAACACGCGTCTCGATCCTTGCGAATAGGAGACTGGACTCTTCTAACAAATGCCTCAAAAACTCCATAGCACAGGCACAAATGACGTCGTCAAGGCACGGGCCTGCTGGGATAACCTGAAACTACTACTAAGTTACTGTACGGCTGACGGAGCGGAAGCCTTGACCCCTGGGGTATCTTTTGAGATCCCTGCCAGCCTCGCCCTACTTCGAAACCCCGTCGCATCCATCGGCAGACTTACCTCATGGGCATCGCAGAAGCGACACTGTCATCTGATTGTAATCCACGCCAAAAGATCCAAAATGATTCGATATTAACACTAACAACGGTCTTTTCTTCAAAGGAGGATTTCCCTGGTTCATCGCCGCAATCCTTCCGAGGTCAAAACTCTGACTTGACGCACCTGAGTTCGCACCTTGGGTGCAGCAGGCTAACTTGCCGAAAACGGGTCTGGCAAGAAAAACACCTCGCAGCGCGAAATTAACACGACCTCGTTCTTGTCCACGCGAGAGTGCGATCATCCCTGGCCCAATGAGCGTGGTTCAGCCATGGGTCTCGGTATGACTCCAAATTACCCCCACAGCCGCATCAACCCGAAACCCGGAGAAGACCGCATGAGTTGGTCGGGCGGACGCATGTGGCACTTTCTTTCCCACCTTTGGGGGCCGGGGCAAGAAATGGGTCCCCTCCCTCGTCTCCAGGCTCCATCTTGCCCCGGTGCTTATTCAATATGCCTCAAAAGGGAACCAGGGCTGAAGTGCTCCATTATCATCTGACCAGGGGGGTCGTCATTGCTCACACCCGGTTCATTATCACCTCAGCAAAAGAAGAATTTTTCTTTCTTTCCCTCCTGGGTGGCCGTCCAATCAAAACTCAGGATAAAGTCTTTTCCATTCTACTACTAGTACACAGTGCATTTCTGCCTCCGTCCTTTGATGCCGAAAAAGCAAATCCAGGACATACGATGCAAAGACATCGTTCAATTTCATGATAGATTTCGCGGTACCCAACCGACCCGGAGAACGAAAAGGCGGGTTTTCCACATGCACATGTGGACTTGTCGTTGCAGCAAGCCTAATGGCCAAGGCCCCATACCTAGCCAAGCCCCATAGCCAAGTTGAGTTCGCTCGAATGCGGATTGGAGGAATACGCTTCCGCCTCACGACGCTATATTACCCGTACTAATGGCGAATTTGAGGGGAACTGAGACATGTAAGAGCCAGCCAGTTCAACGGCAGTTGCAAAGGAACGAGCTTTTGCCACA